CACCCCATCCAACAAAATAAAATTTAACGTAGATAAAAGTAAGATCTTACACTTGGGCAAGAAAAACCAAATGTATAGGTACAAATTAGATGAAACCTGGCTCAGTAGCAATAACTATGACAGGGATCTTGAAGTCCTAGTGCAGACATGTCAAACACAAGGCCTGGGGGTTGGATGCAGCCCGTGAAGTGGTATCATGTGACCCGCAAAGCCATCTGGAAACAGTGAGGGAACAGCCCCTGCTGCCTTGACCCTGGCCTAGGCTAGCCGGGAGCCAATGTACAATTTTGTGGTGGCCATCTATGCTGAAACGTATTCAGTCTTAGCTCCACAAGGCCGTCTGGAAACAGTGAGGAACCAGCTCCTGCCACGTTGGCTCCACACCCTGGGCGCATGCTGGGGAGGTGTCACCTTTGTGAGGAATGAAGAAATGCACCATCGCCTGCAAGTGGCCAGCAAATGGCCCTTGCCTACTTCACATATCCGGCTTGATGGGCTCCAGGGGAGGAGTTTTGGCAGACAGCGGGGCGCTCTCCTCACAGCGCTGAGAGGCTGAGCCAGGCAGCGTGAATCCAAAAGGAAGTATGCTGCCACTCAGCCCCCAGCTTGCCCAATTTCAGCAGGCAGCAAGGTGCAAAGCTGGCGAGCTCCACACTGCCTGGCTCAGCCTCTCAGCGATGTGAGGAGCGCCCCGCTGCCTGCAGAAACCGGGCAGGCTGGGGGCTGGGTGGAGTCATGCTTCTTTTTGGATTCGTGCTGCCTGGGCTCAGCCTCTCGACACTGTGAGGAGAGCACCTCGCTGCCTGACAAAACCAGGCAGATTGGGGGCTGGGTGGCATTGCACAGGTAACATCGACTCTCACGTTGCTCATGGCGCCCCTTCCCCCAAAAGCCCACCAAGCCAGATATGTGAAGTAGGCGAGGGCCATGTGCTGGCCACTTCCAGGCGATGGTGCATTTCTTCATTCCTCACAAAGGGTGACACCTCCCCAGCTGTATTTCTTGCCTGTTTTTCTCCCTCCCTCAAATATTTTCCCACCACTCTGTTCTTAGGAAGGGAGGGAGGGAGGGAGGAAAGAAGGAAACAAGGAAGGAGAGGGAGGGAGGGTCCGCTGCCCTTTCACCATCCCCTTGCCCCCTCCTCCTGGCCTATCCTGGGGTCTCCCATCCTATTGCTATGAAGCTTTGGATACAAAGCCAGGTCTCCTCCCATGGAGAGTGGGCCTCCCTCTGACTTTGCCCTCGTATCCATCATGAGCAACGTGGCTAAGGAGAGCAAGCATAGCAACAACAGCCTTGAGGATAAATGCAGCTGGGCAACCCCTTGGGGAAGTGAGGCTGGGCTTGGTGCCACGGGTGTTTGAGGGCCGGGCTGGGCATTTGACCTCTGCTGCCCAGGGCTCCAGGAAGCATGCAGCACTATTCAGCCCCCCCCCCCACGCATGGCCTGAGAGGAACAATGAGGCTTTTCCAGTGGACCATGCCTTGGCGCTTGCCCCAATCCCACCCCCTTCTGGCAGAGACCCTCACATCTGTTCCACTCCTGCCCAGGCTCCCACAGGCACTCTTGACGCGAACGATGAAGAGCTGGCCATGCCCACCCAATAGGCCACATCCACTCCAGCCACGCCCACCCAGTAGGCCATGTCTACCCTGGCCACACCTACCCCCCCCCCAAGGATAACTGCAATGCTGATGCGGCCCTCAGTGAAATTGAGTTTGACACCCCTGTCTTAGTGGACAATCACTGAACACTAAAACTTTTCACTCCTTAATCACTTTAAGTGATTAAATATGTTCAGTAACAATTCTCCAGTTGTAGAGTTACTGAAAGTCATTGAGTTACTGAGAATTGCTGAGAGACCATTTATAACACCAAACATCCTAATCAATAAGATTGTTTTGAGATAAATGTTATCAAGGATACATACTATAGTGCAGGATCCAATCTAGGTCGATCACCTGGACCAAAGGTTTTGTATTCCAAGCTTTTGGACTTGTGCTGGAGCCCATTTTCAGGGAACCGCTCTATGTATTGTAGCCTCATTTTCTCATATGGATAGGAATATTTCTAGTTTAATGAAAACAAAGGCTAGAGGTGATATATAGCAATGTTCCAATATCTAAGGGCTGCCACAAAGAAGAGAGGTCAATCACCTGAAGGCGGGACATGATGCAGTAGATGGAAAGTAATCAAGAGGAGAAGCAAGGAGAGAAGCAATCTAGAATAAATTTTCTGACTGTGAGAACAGTTAATCAGTTGAATGGCTTGCCTCTGGAAGTAGTGTACCCACTACTTTAAGAAGTGATTGGACAGCCATTTGTCTGGAATGACATAGGGCTCCTGCTTGAACAGGGGCTTAGACCTAGAAGACTTCCAAGGTCCTTTCCAATTCTGTTATTCTTGGTTTCTAGTCCGTGGCAACAGTTTAAAAAGCCAATGCAATGCTAGGCTGCATTAACAGAGAGATAGAATCAAGATCAGGTGAAGTACTAGTACCACTTTATAAAGCCTTAGTAAGAGCACACCTGCAATACTGCATCCAGTTGTAAAAAAAGATGTTGAGACTTTGGAAAGAATGCCGAGAAAAACAACAAAGTTAATTAAGGGCCTGGAAGCTAAATCATAGAAAGAACAGCTGCAGGAATTGAAAAGGACTAGGGATGACATAATAGCAGTGTTCCAATATTTGAAGGCTGCCACAAAGAAAAGGGGATCAACTATTTTCCGAAGTACCAGAAGGTTGCTTCTCTCTAATCAAGGAGATTAGCAACCTAGAACTAAGGAGAGATTTCCTAACAGTGAGAACAATTAACCAGTGGAATGGCTTCCCTTCAGAAGTTTTGGGTGCTCCCATTACTGGAGGTTTTTAAGAAGAGTCTGAACAACCACTTGTCTGGAATGGTATAGGCTCTCCTATTTGAGCAGGGGGTTGGACTAGAAATCCTTCAAGGTCCCTTCCCATTATTCCAACTCTGTCATTCTGTTATTCTGATAATTATTAAGGAAATTATTGGCCTGAAAATGAGATTGGTTTCTATGGGATATGTTTCAACTAGAGGGATTCAGTTTCAGGAATATGGGATTCTGAAGAGAATAATTTCCGCATGATAAGCACACACAATTACCACTTTTGTCCATAATGCACTGAAGAATTATTATTGAACTGAACAGTAATGAACTGAATCAAACAGTTCATTCTATACTGTTCATAATGACATGAACTCATCAAGAAGTATGACATACAAACAACTGCTCAAATACATTTCTTCAATAATTTCTTAGCCAAATAAATGAAGATTGTATATTTATTAAAAATTTCTACATTTATTTAGAAGCTTTTTTTAACTTTACACACAAACATCACCATTCCAAATATAAATGTAATGGATCTGATAAACATCAGCTGATTTATTTTCAAAGTCTAGGTATTGGATAAAGTTCTTTACATGCAGGATAGTACATTTGCCTAATGACAAATTTCCATAACATCTCATTGGGAAATTATTATTTCTAATATCTATATTGTACCCTAATCCTAACAGCATATGGCAGACTAAAATAATTGAAATAGAAATAATAAAAATCACAATAAGAACTACTATATCAAAGATATAGTTTAATTGAATTGCTAGTTCACCTTCTGTTCCACAGAAAATTCTAAATTTCAGCATGAGACTAAAATAAAATCCAAAACTTTCCTTGTTCAGTAAAAAAATATTTGCGCCCCCCTGCCCCACTCCACCCTATGAATTAGAGTAGCTCCAATACAGGAAATGTGTGAAAATTGTTCCAAGATTTGGGAAGTGAAATATAAATGGACCACTACCACTACAGGTGGTGCTTCTTTTATTGGAGGAGTATTTTGGGATAGTAGTTTAGGATTATTAATATTGTCCTTTTATATTATTTTAAACTTTATTTTAAAAAAAGAATACTCACTTAGAGTTGGCTAGGACTGAAATAATTTACAAGCCTAGGTAATAAATAATAAGTAAAAATGTAACTAATGCAACATTTCTATGGATGAAAAAAAAAATCTATCCAGTAATAATTAAGATATACCCACTTCTTTGCATTCAGAGTTAAATACTTCTAATATAGTGAACACAGGATGGTCATTATTCAGAACAGATTAGATAGAGTTTGCAAGATAGCTCTTATTCTGTCAGAAAAAGTAATCATTGACAAGCAGATAAGGATGAATACCATCAGTGCAGTCCTATATCTGCCTGCTCTGAATTATGTCCTACTGTCCTTAACAGAGCCTACAAGATTGCAACTCTTCAAGTACCTTGAATATAATTTTCATATGGTTTTAGAAAAACAATAGAACATATTTTTCTGGCTTGTTAAAATCAGTTAAATACTGTAGGATGAAAGCAATCTCCTTATAGCTGTTATTATTGTTTTGATCACAATGGTTTCTGTTGCAGGATTGTTTGATAACTGAGTATGCCTGCAACAATAAAAGAGGATGCATCTGTATTTAAGGAACTACTTTGGTGTAGGGGTTAAGCCACCAGGCTAGATACTGGAAGACTAGGGGTTCTAATCCAGTTTTGGGCACAAATCCAGCTGGGTGACCTCGGGCCAGTCACTTTCTTTCAGCCCTAGAAAGAAGTCAATGGCAAACACTTCTGCAAAAAATATTTGACAATAAAACTAGTTTAAGCAGTTGCCAGAAATCACTATTGACTTGAAGGCAAATCCTCCCAAAACAAGCCAAAAACTATATTTAGATTTATCTTGGGACATAAAACATCCATACTGAAAAAATCCTCAAAGGCTCACAGGGAGCTACTTTAGAGCAAGAATCTAGAACAATAGGATAACAAGCTTTGTGAATATAAGTAATTTTAGATCTTGGGTACAATGATCCTATATGCCCACTTTTGAGATGGTAATGTCTATTTTTAAAATAACTGCATCAGTATTATAGCATTTGGAAGCTTTGCTTTTTCTATTTGCGCCCCCCCCGCCCCACTCCACCCTATGAATCAGAATAGCTCCAATACAAGAAATATGTGAAAACTGTTCCAAGATTTGGGAAGTGAAATATAAATGAACCGTGATTTATTTTTTACAATTAACCTAGGATCCTAACATTGCATGCAAACTTAACGTCTTAGCTACCTACTAACGTTCGGTGATTTTTATTATTTAAGATGCTACGGAAGGGAAAGATTCATTCAGTCGCACCGAAAATGGTGTTTTCCGGATCTGTGAGTCAACAAGCATGAACTTCCCAGCCAGTTTCCGGGAAAGGATTAAGCTCCCTGTACCGCCGCATTCTGATTCATCACCACACAAAGCGTAGCTATGGAGAAAGCTGCAAAGACCAGCGAATCAATCCGTTGGAATGACGTCGAAACTGGTACGAGTTGCTTCATCCTTCTTAGTTTCAGGAACACCCTCATCAAGCCTACGATGCACAAAGCATCCATTGCCGCTTCCTTAACCTCCGGACCAGCAGTTCCCCGACTTCCGTTATGGCTTCCGAAGTGAAAGTGGCCCGTCATTTGAGGTCATCAACCTGCGTCCTCCTGGCCTGGAATCCAACCCATCGCGGAAGCCGCGGCGGACTTGCTTAAACTTATTGGCGGGTAGTATGGTGTGGGTTAGCCGCACTCTCTTAGTCAGACAGGTTAGTGAGATCTTAAAGTGATTCCCCCTTTCCCCATAGCTTGTACCCCTGGGGGAAAGAGGAAGATGCCCAGGGTTGTTCCAGATCATGGAACGTTTTCCCAAGTTGATATGGTCTGCATGTGCTGCTCTTGCGCTCTTACCGTCTTAGATATTCCCCTCGTTGATTGGGACTTTGGATTTGAAGGGAAAAGCAAGTGGGGGGAAATACTTGGTTTGATGGAGATGTTTCTCTTAGGGCGGTATTTTTTTTTTCCAAATGTCCCGTGCCCCAAGACCTTCTCACGGGTTCGTGAAATTGAAATTATTTACAATTATTTGCATGTTGAAAAATGATATTTTAACCTCCATTAAACAAATGTTGATATGCAGAGTCCTTTGTAAGCAGGAAGAGGTTCCCCCTCCCCCCAAAAAGTTTAAGAAATGTTGGTTTGGTGTATGTTCCCAGAGTGGTTTGAGGCACAAACTGGCCTCAGCGCACAATATATTTTGCTTATTGCACAATATGAACTTAGTCCTTATGGTCAGTTTATGTTTCAATATGGATGAATTTAGAAAATTGGTAGTTTGCTTAAATTGTTCTATTACCTCATAATGAATATGTTGGGCCAATTAGGCATATCTTGGCAATGAAGAGCTAAGTTAAAGAAGAGCAATTGAGTTTTTGTCTATTAAATTATAAAAATTATAGGAAATGTATGTCTCTACAATTATGCTTATTGTTGGGATGTGAGTCTTAATACTATCAATTTATGGCAAGATGTTTAACTCAGGAAATAATTTCAAAAGAAGAAATTCAGTGTATAGGATTTACTATTGCATAATTTTCTATAGAACTAGAGATTCATTTAATTAATGTTCTAATCCAAGAAACTTTGATTTATGCTGAGTTTTAAGGTGCTAATTTTATTTTCTTTAAGAACAAATAAAGCACTGTTTTTGACAATAGTATTTCATTGTTTTAATAAAGACAAAGTAATGGTTGGATTTATAAATTTTATTAAGGAGAGGTTTCTTTAGCTATGGTTTATCAAATAAGATATTACTAGTGAGTTTGTGCTAAACCATGTTTTACAAACCACAACATTTGTATTCAATGCAATATCATAAACCTAATATTTGATTGCCATTGCATAGATCTCATGTAACTATTGGAATATAGTTGTTCAGATTTAGGAAGAGAATATAATTAATACTTTACAGAACCTGTTTAATTTTCTATTTATTTAAAGCATTCTTATTCTGCTTTTCAACGAAGTCAGCATTGAAATAGCTTTCACAAATAGTGAATACATATGTTGTGGTTTGAAAATTGCGATTTAGAACAAACCCACTAATAATATCTGATACTATTTGATAAGCCATAGCTAAAGAAACCATGCCTTAATAAAAGTTATAAATCCAACAACTATTTTGTCTTCACTGAAATAGTGAAGTGTCATCTTCCAGAAAAGTGCTTTATGTGTTCCTACAGAAAATAAATAAAATTAGCAACATCAAATAAGAAATATTGTGGCTTATATGATAATATGAAGAGTTTTATTTAAGGTAAAGGAAGTCATAATAATAGACCACCTCTGTCTCGGTACATTTCTTTTTACAATATGTTGCAATTTTCTGTTGGGTTGAAGTAACATGTTTCATGTATTAATTTTTTCAGTATGGCAGATTTATGGATGACCTAAGGATCTATGTGAAAGGTGGAACTGGTGGAATGGGTCATGCTCATTTAGGTGGCATTGGAGGAAAAGGCGGTGATGTCTGGTTAATAGCAGATGAAAAAATGACCTTGAAGAAAATGAAAGATAAATATCCAAAGAAGCGGTTTGTGGCAGAAGCAGGAACCAACAGTAGGTGAGTTCTTTTTATTGACTGAGAATGCCTCTGGTTCTCAGTCCTGTCCTAGAAAACAGTCATGTGATGTTTATTTTTTGGTCTCCAAGTATTGCTGCACTGAAAGGAAATAAAGGAAAAGACTGTGAAGTAAATGTACCTCCAGGAATATGTGTTACTACAGATGATGAGAAACAGCTTGGTAAGGATCTTCATTACTTTTATCTTTATTACTATGTTGAACATAATAGCAGCTTGGATATCTAGTTTGATTTTTCTTCATGCCATTTTTTTTAATACTGCTGGGTAAAATTACAATTGCCAACTTTCCGATAACATCTTGAAAACTGAAGCTCAGTTACATGTTTTTTTCTGAAGTAAATAACTAATGGCTTGGTATGTATGTGTGTGTGTATGTGTGTGTGTATGTAGGTATATCTATATATGTATATATTCAGATTTCTTTTTGCTGACAGAGTTATTAAAGAATTAAGTGGGAGACTAGAATAGCTATTTTGAGCTCATTATGCTCTCATCAGCTAGCCACACCCTTTATGGGATTTGAACCTAGGCAGCCTACATGCTAGGCAGTTGTATTAACCACCAGGCCACCAGTTCTCCTCCCCTCTTTGTCAGCTGAGTCAAGAGAGTATATACAGAAAGTTTTTCAAATAGACTTGTCTGATTGATTGCACCTTGGCATTTTTGACTGCTATACTGTAGTTCTACTTTTTTTTTTAGTCTCCCACTTAATCCTTTAACTCTTTGTCAGCAAAAATCTGTATTTAATCTGAATTTGTAATGTATCGCAGTAGCGACTTGAGCCTGCTTAATGCCCCTAGTTGGGGGGCTGCAAGGCAAAAGTGATCATAAAAAAAGTAGAACTGCGGCATAGCAGTCAAAAATGGCAAAATGCAATCAATCAGACCGGTCTGTCTGAAAAACTTTATGTATGTATGTATGTATGTATGTGTGTATATGTACATATACATACACACACACACACACACACACACACACACGTAGGTCTTTGGTTATTCGGGTTTTCTCCCGCGTAAAATTGGAAGTGTCCAATCAGTTCATATCCCCACTGGCAGTTAAAAGGAAGAAACAGCTAAGACCACACATTGCTCCTCAAAGCACGAAGCTGAAAACACCAGCCTGAAGATGACAAATGGGACTTCGTCGAAATGTCGCCAAGACACTTCCAATTTTACGTGGGAGAAAACCCAAATAACCAAAGACCTACATACAAACACCTGCGAAAACCTCAGAAAACAAATATATATATATGTAGGTAGGTCGGTCGGTCGGTCTTGGGTTATTCAGGTTTTCTCCCGCGTAAAATTGGAAGTGTCTTGGCGATATTTCGACAAAGTCCCATTCGTCATTTTCAGGCTGGTGTTTTTCACTTCGTGCTTCTAGAATCTAAAGGATCTGAAATATAAATAAAGACTATAAGGGAAGAAAAATAAGTTTAGGCATCATTCTTAAAATTACAATTCTTATAACGTCTTGAACAATATGCTGGGAATGATTATAGCTAGATAAAAGTTGTGTGAGGTCAAAGCCATCTTGTGGCTGGGAATAGACCAGCCTTTTCACACTAGTACAGGGATCCCCAACCTCCGGCCCACAGCTTAGTGCTGGGCCTACAGCCGTTCAGAACTGGACTGCAAAAGTGGCAGGTGAGCACATGTGTGTGCGTGTATCCTACTTGCATGAGCAGCGGGCAAGCATGTGCACATGCACTCCATTTGCATGAATGAAGCTATATGTGCCCTTGCCCACTGCTCATGCAGAACCATCCCTTTCCCCTTCCCCCTCCTTGGTTCGTAAAGCCAGAAAGATTGGGGGACTCTGCTCTAGCATATATTTGCTAATTTATTTCCACCTTTATTTGTAAATTATATTTTATTTTGAGCTCAATGGAATGTAAACATTGAGCTACTATCATATTGAGCCTGACTCCTGATTATTATAGGGACACAGGCATAAAGTTCTTCTGGCAAAAGCCTTCACCCTTGATATTACCTGATAATCTCAGATTAATCAGATTTAATGTGAATGTTTTCATAAGTCTTTGGAATGTACATTCATTCATAGAACCCTTTTGTACTATATATTTTATATTCAATGTGTTCACTAACTAATGAGAACATCTATAATTTATAGATGATTGCTAAAATTATTTTCCATGTTGTTGAATTTTTTAAAAATGCCTGCCTAAAAACGTAATATGTTGTTGAAAAATGCTTGTTAAAATAAGTTCTGTGCCAATGATACAAAAAATTTTCTGACACTTAATATTTATATTTAGGTAAACTTGACAAAGTAGGAGAAAGATTGTTGGTAGCACACGGAGGTATTGGTGGATGTCCAGTAACAAATTTCTTGCCTACCAGAGGTCAGGTTCACATGATACATCTTGATCTAAAACTTATTGCAGATGTTGGTTTAATTGGGTAAGTTATTGATCTTGAAAATTATATTCTAAAATCTCAGTAATTGAAGTAATTTCCTTTGTACTACAAATATTGTTATTCATTCTAGCTTTATTTTAGATTGACTCAACAACTGTTCATTTACCTCCAGACGCTAGAATGTTTCCACTTGCTCCCTATTTCTGTATAGTTACAATCTTTTCAGGATTTGCACAAAAGTACAGATTTCAAGCTTTTGTCTATTGTTCTGAAATTAAAAATTAATTTCAGAACAATAGAGAAAGGGTCAAAATCTTACTTTTGCGCCAGCCCTGAAAAGATTTTGTAGATTTGGAATGCAGAAGGGAGGTCAGGAAAATATACTTGCTTGGCTTAAAATAGAATCTTTTTTCTTCATCCCTATAAGACATTTCCATTTATTATTAGAAAATATTTACTTTATTTTTTTTTATTTACAATTCAACAACTTTGTTCTATTATATGTAAAAATTCTATAGTAACATTAAATGGTAATTTTCTCAATTCTCATTGTTCTAGATTTCCAAATGCAGGAAAGTCCTCTTTATTAACTAAGATTTCTCATGCCAAACCTCAAATTGCAGATTATGCTTGTAAGTAACTTTATTCATTCATTCATTCATTCATTCATTCATTTAGTAATTACTTACTTAACTTACTTATTAAATTTATTTGTCACCTATCTCACCATGGGCCTTCTCTAGGCGGCTTGCAACAATAAAAACAAAGAAATCAAAAGAGTGTAAACAAAACTGAAGTAAAACAATAGAACAATAAAATAATGAAAAAGAAAACAACATAATATAATAATCAAAACAATATATTATAATCAAAAAGATGGACAGGTGAAGAGCAAAGAGCAATGGGGGAGATGGAGTCTGTCAACAATCCAGTAGTCAGCTCCAGCACAGCCACATCTTCAGGGTTCTATGGAAGATGGGAGGGGTGTGTTGTCCGATCTTACCCTAGAAGTTAGGATGTTCCAAAGAGAAGGGACCATGACAGAGAAGGCTCTTCTTATAGATCCTAGTAAACAGAGTTCTTTGACCAATGGGATTTGTAGTAGACCCTCTACCAGCAAGAGTCAGACGGGGTTGTCCTAGCAGGATGAGACAGTTCATCAGGTAGCCTGGACCTCTGCCATAGCTTTCCTCTAGAGAAAAAAGTGTCTTTTAATTTCATGACTGCAGTCACTCTCTGCAATAATCCTGGAGCCCAAGAAAACAAAATCTATCACTGTTTCCATTTCTTCTTCTTCTTTTTGTCAGGAGGGGGTGGGACCAGATGCCATGGTCTTAGTTTTTTAATGTTGAGTTTCAAGCCAACTTTTGCACCCTCTTCTTTTGTCCCCATCAAGAGATTCTTTAGTTCATTTTCAGCCATTACAGTGGTATCATCTGCATATCTGAGATTGTTGCTATTTCTCCCAGCAATCTTAATTCTGGCTTGTGATTCATCCAACCTGGCATTTTGCATGTTAAGTTAAATAAACAGGGTAACAATATACACCCTTCTCATGCTTCTTTCCCTATTTTAAACCAATTAGTTGTTCCATGTCTGGTTCTAACTGTTGCTTCTTGATCCACATACAGGTTTCTTAGGTGACAGGTAAGTAATCTGGTACTCCCATCTCTTTATGATTATTCTGATCCATACAATCAAAGGCTTTTGCGTAGTAAATGAAACAGAAGCAGAGATTTTTCTCTCTTGCTTTCTCCATACTCCAATCTGATATATATCTTTTGTGCCTCTTTGAAACCCAGCTTGTACTTCTGATAGTTCTTGGTTCATATATTGCTGAAGCCTGGGATTTTGAGCAGAACCTTCCTAACATGTGAAATGGCTACAATTATACAGTAGTTTGAACATTCTTCGGCATTTCCCTTCTTTGGGATTGTAATGTAAACTGACCTTGTCCAATCTGTGGCCACTGTTAAATTTCCAAATTTGCTGGCATATTAAGTGCAGTACTTTAACAACCTTATCTTTTAAGATCTTAAATGGGTCAGCTGGAATAGCGTTATCTCCCCTAGCTTTGTTGTTGATAATGCTTCCTAAGATCCATTTGACTTTGCACCCCAAGATGTCTGGCTCAAAGTCAGTGATCACATCATCATGGTTATCATGGGCATTAAAATATTTCTTGTACAGTTTTTCTGTGTATTCTTGCCACTCTTCTTAATCTCTATTTCTTTGCATTGTTCATTTAAGAAGATATTCTTATCTCTCCTTGGTATTCTCTGGAAATCTGCATTCAGTTGGGCATATTTTTTCCTTTCTCCCTTGTCTTTCTCTTTCATTCTTCCCTCAGCTATTTATAAATCCCTATCAGGCAGACACTAAGAAAACCAAAATCATGGCATCCGGCCCTCTCAATTCCTTGCAAATAGATGGGGAAGAAATGGAGGTAGTGACAGATTTTATTTTCCTGGGCTCCAAGATCACCTCAGATGGGGACTGCAGCCAAGAAATTAAAAGACGCTTGCTCCTGGGGAGGAAAGCTATGGCAAATCTAGACAGCATACTAAAAAGCAGAGACATCACCCTGCCAACAAAAGTGCGTATAGTCCAGGCCATGGTTTTCCCAGTTGCAATGTATGGATGTGAAAGTTGGACCATAAGAAAGGCTGAGCGACAAAGAATTGAGGCCTTTGAACTATGGTGCTGGAGAAGACTCCTGCGAGTCCCTTGGACTGCAAGGCGTTCAAACCGGTCAGTCCTAGAAGAGATCAATCCCAACTGCTCTTTAGAAGACCAGATCCTGAAGTTGAAACTCAAATACTTTGGCCACCTAATGAGAAGGAAGGACTCACTGGAGAAGAGCCTAATGCTGGGAAAGATTGAGGGCAATAGAAGAAGGGGACAACAGAGAATGAGATGGCTGGATGGAGTCACTGAAGCAGTAGGCGTGAACCTAAATGGACTCCAGAAGATGGTAGAGGACAGGAAGGCCTGGAGGAACATTGTCCATGGGGTCGTGATGGGTCGGACATGACTTCGCAATTAACAACAATAACAATCAGACAGTCACTTCACTTTCTTGCATTTCTTTTTGGGGATAGTTTTATATTTATAAAGGATATGATTTAGGTCATATCTGAATGGCTTGGTAGTTTTCCCTACTTTATTCAATTTAAGCCTTTTACAATAAGAAACTCATGATCTGAGCCACAGATCTTGTTTTTTACTGACTGTATAGAAATTCTCCTGCAAAGTACATAATCAATCTGATTGCAGTATTGGCCATCTGGTGATGTCCATGTGTAGAATCACCTCTTGGTTTGTTGGAAAGAGTGTTTGTTATAACCAGCATGTTTCTATCAAAACATGTTTCATTTTGTATTCCAAGGCCAAACTTGCCTTTTATTCTGTTACCTCTTGACTTCTCATTTTAGTATTACAATCCCCTATGATGAAAAGGACATTCTTTTTTTGGTGTTAGTTCTAGAAAGTATTTTATATCTTCACTGAACCAATCAGCTTCAGTGATTGGGATATAGACTTGGATTACTGTGATGTTGAATGGTTTGCCTTTGATTCGAACCAAAATCATTCTATCACTGCTTTTCTCACACTTTTATTGACTATGAGGACTACTCTATTTCTTCTAAGAGATTGTTGCCCACAGTGGTAGATATAATGATCATCTGAATTAAATTCATCCATTCCTGTCCACTTTAGTTCAATGATTCCCAAGGTGTTCAATCTTTCCATCTCATGTTTAATCACATCCAGCTTACATTGATTCATAGATCTTACATTCCAGGTTCCTATGCAATATTGTTCTTTACAGCATCAAACTTTTCTTTCAGCACTAGACATATTCACAGCTAAGCGTCCTTTCAGCTTTGGCTCAGCCACTTCATTCTTTCTAGAGCTACTTGTAATTGCCTTCTCCTTTTCCCCAGTAGCACATTGGACATCTTATAATCTGAGGGGCTCCTCTTACAGAATCCTATCTTTTTAATCTTTTAATTCTGTCCATTGGGTTTTCTTGGCAAGGATACTAGAGTGGGTTGCCATTTCTTTCTCCAGTGGACCACATTTTTTCAGAACACTATAACCAGTCCATCTTGGGTGGCCCTGCACAGCTTAGCTCATAATGTTGAGCTGCATTAGCCTCTTCACCATGACAAGGTAGTGATCCATGAAGGGATTGTCTCCATATACTTCTTACAATGCCTTTATTTATTTATATATAAACAAATACCAGTAGAAAACAGTACTTTAAAACAAAAAAATAACCCACAAAAACAGTGGGAATATAAAAAGCAACAAGAAAAATTCTACCACACAATGCCTTCCTCATTATGAAATCTCATGATGAAGATTATTAATAAAGAAGTGAGATAATCTTCCTTGGGAGAGGAGGATTTTGGGGAAGCAACCAAAAAAGGTCTGTTTTTATTTCTGCAATCAGTGATTCAGTAAAAAAAAAAATAAACATTAAAGGCATTAAAGAGAAACACCAGTTCTTAGAACTATATTTCTTCATGGGACCTCCCATAATTAATGCATGTCACCACATAGCAAAGCTGTAGGTTACTTTTCTGGTACAGAGCTCTGTAGTATAACGAGTGAGGGACAATATACAGTGGGGAGCAGCTTATACTTTAATCACAAATTCTAGGATGGCCTGCCAATAGAAAGGTGAGTCCCCTGCCAAATGAAACAAAAGCTGTTGGCATAACTCTTGCCATGTGATTAAAGGTATGGGAACAAACATGATGTTTTTGGTTCACATGATGTATACAGTAGTCCTCAATTTACAAAACAGACACATGGCAACCATTTGAAATTACAATAGATAACACCCCCCTCCAAAAGGTACCTATCATCTGGTTCTGAGGTACCAGCAGCTTCTTCCCGTCCCAGGACAGTTATGTGATTACATTTTAGGTGACTTCACAGCTGGCCTGCATTTACAGTAACATCTGCAGAATCACACAATTACATGGCCATGATTTATTATGTTTTTGCCAAAACCCAGCATTTACTTCCAGTTTTCAGCAAAAATGACATAGAAGACAGTGGATTTGCTTAATAAAAGTAATGTTCACTTAACTGCCACAAAAAAGACTGTAAAATTGGGTTGGTCACAGGCTGACCCATTTTACCACCATAATGGGTGCTGGAAAAAAACCCCACAACAAATGGATGAAACAGGTCAAGCTTACATTGTTCTGAATGTTCAATAGACTTTAGTCTACACAAGTCCTGATTTAGTATTAAGTATAAGCTGAGCTGAAGATACACACCATGCTAAATCCAAACAGGGTGGGTATATTTTTGACTTAAGTGTGATGCTTAAGGATGCATGCATAGAGGAGTGAAGGCAAATATATGGGTCCCAAGATAATGTTGCAGGATCCAATCTGAGTCAGTCACCTGGGCCAGAGGTTTAGTCTTTCGAACTTTCGTGCTGGAGCCCATCTTCAGGAAACTTCTCTTTCTCACTGAACAGATAAATTTAATCCAGGGGTAAATTTTGAAAATCCTTTCTACCTCATTTGACTTATTTCTCATTTTCCACAGTCACAACACTATCTCCCGAAATTGGAACTGTGATGTATCCTGATCACAAGCAGGTTAGTTTCCAATATAGTTATTATATAAAATATATTGTGGAAATTCATTTTTGGCAATGTTAGGAGATCTCACTTGCTTATAACTGAAATAATGCTGCCAAGATATTTCACATGAGTGTTCCCTAATTAAAGCATATGAAATCCTTGATGTGTGGTCATATTAAACTATTTTTTATTAATCTCAGGTCTGCAGACCACAACATTGTCTGATTACCTACATAGTCCAGAGCAAAACTCCTATTCCAAAACTATTGTTTTGAAAAAAATGTCAATATCATCAGTATTTTACTAAACGATCTACTATTTTTCTATCTTACTGATTTCCTATTTTTTTCAGCTGGATCAGCATATTACCAGGAGGATAACATCTAAATAAAGAAATGAAGTATTTATTCTGAACTTTCTAATAGGTTAATTCTTGCATCTCTGACTTTATGACTCAAATTGCCTCTTTGTGTGCTCCACAGATACAATCTTCAGGTTTAGTAAATATTCATGAACATAGGCAGCATCTGGATGCATTACACGAAAGGATCATTTAGTCTGAGATTCAATTCTCTTAATGGTTATTATATATAGGCATTTCACAAGTAGGACATAATTGCAGTAGCATTGTTCTTCTCAAATTCTTCAGTAAGGAGTAGCAGAGGTGGTAGAAAGTTGAGCTAGATAGACTTTGATATAAAGTTTGATAGTTTTAGTAATATGTGCTCATGATGAATAGCTATATGTACTTGTCCATTATAATAATTTCTTTCAAAATGAGCATTGTTAAAGTGTAGAAAATGAGTAAGGAATAGTATACAAAAGAAATTAAAGACATGAGATAAGAAGTAAAACAAAATCCCAACATATCTCAATATTTATTTCTTTATAATACTTGCTTAAAATGCCCCGTTACATATTCTCAGCTCTGCTTTTATGAAGGTTTCATCAACTCCATCCAACTACATCTCCTTAGTCTTTTCCTTTCTCTTGACCCATTCAGTCTCCATATACTTGTTTTGTGAATTATCAACAATTGTTAGGTCTGGGCATTGTATGGCAGATGATTGTTTGAATTCTAAAGTCCCAGAGCACTTTAGATTCTTAATTTCCTATTGTTTTGTCTATTTTGTGGCCCCATCAGTTATTGCTTTCATGCAAATGATATTCCTTGCAGATAGTCCAATACACCATTGTTGCTATTTTGTTATGCCATGGTTTGTAGTCAGCCTGCAGCAGCTAAATAGGTGGTCTGCTGTTTCTTCAGCTTATTTGCAGATATAGCATTTGCTATCAGTAAGCATTGAGAATAGAGAAAAATTCTGAGCAAATCACTCCTGTTGGTATACACTGATCTTTCTTATTTATCAGCCTGGAGGCTTAAATCTAGGTAGCCCCCACTGACACATGCCCAACACCTGCCCAACAACTTCAACATCGATTCCCAGTGGAAAGCCAAATGGGTTGCTGAATGTCCAGACTTAGGAAGACATATAAATGACCCCACAAAAAAGATGCTAAGCTTTGAACTATCATGTCAGCCATGGACAATTCTGAATAGGATTTGCACCTCACAAATTGTCTGCCAGGACTCACTGTATAAATGAGGCATGTGTGACTGTATGATCCCATGTCAAACTGTAGATCACATTGTGACCAGCTATAAGCTGAGGGCATATACCGGTCGAGTATCTGATTTTTTTCATATAAATGATGCTGCCCTGGAATGGTTATATGGTTACATACACTGGTATCTGAATATAGAACTTTTTAACATTCACATTTTATTGTGTTTTTTTTTAATCTAGGCAAAATGTCAGTATACATTGGAAGTCCATGTATGATAAAAAATAAATAATTTTCAATTCTGGCTTTTTATGCATTTGTTCTTAAGGCTTGGACATGTGCAGCCAGAATTAGTTTCTCTGTCTCTTTCTTCAACTTTTCTACTCTTAGCCATTACCAGGTCTTGTTATTATCTTCTTTGCCTGCTAGTTTTTTAATTTACTGGACATGCAGTACTTTGTCTTGCCATCTCTTTTCTATTCTTATTTGATTTTTCTTATAGACCAGTTTGGTCTTTCAAGTATTCAATAATGTAAGATGTATTTTCTTCATTGTTGTTCAGATAGTCTTCCAATACCTTTTGTTGTTGTTGTTTTTCTTCAACTATCTAAAGTATTACAACATTCCATGTCCACTTCTGCTCCTTGGTAAGCAGAGTCTGTCAACACTGCTTGTGGATGAAGGGCATGATTCATTGTCATTATTCTTGTCTTCCTATCCAAGGTTTTTACTTCCACTTGAGTCTAGACCACTAGATCAAATAAACCAACATTATATTCTCTTTTTTATCAATCTTGATCCTTAATCCCTTCAAATAATGTCTTCAAACTTAATTTCATTTTTTTCTTTTCATTTTTCTTAAACTCTTATCACAAAATTCTTCATTTTTTTTTCAAATTTAACAAACCTCTTTTGTAAATCCAATATAGGAAAGTTATCCAGTCACTGCTTTCATTTGTTAGGTGTATTATTTATTTATTTAATTATTAGTCACTAGATAGTTTCTTCTAGTACAGTGATGGCAAACCTTTTAGAGACTGAGTGCCCAAACTGAAACCCAAAACTCACTTATGTATCGTTGGGTGCCGGGTGGCATGCCCATTGGGAGGGTGTGGTCAATTGGGAGGGAGTGGCCAATTGGGTGGGCATGGCCAATTGGGTGGGCATGATAACGGCAGACTGGGTGGGACTAAAAAGTTCAATCAATCAATTCCAACTTTGCGAGATCTTTTTTTCCCGCAAGAAGTTGAAATTGATTGATATATTGAACCTTTTTTTTTTTTTTTGCACATGGCGGCAAGGTTTTATAAAACCCAGCTGAAGGCCTAGGACTAGGGCGACAGTGCGCGTGCCCACAGAAAGAGTTCTGCGTGCCATCTGTGGCATGCATGCCATAGGTTCGCCACCACGGGTCTAGTATAACATATTTTTCCATATCATTCTTGTAGTCTGTCATTTTAAGTCCATTTTCAGAGCAGTATCTGATAGAACTTGTTCCTCTTCCGTAAATGCAGAGGTTAACACTTTTAAAATTAACTTCTGGATCTGTTGTTCAAAGATATTTTCAAACACGTCCAGTGTTAACGATATTTTGCTCCTTTCTGTATTAATAAGTCAAATTTAAGTGATTTTTCCCCTTTAATTGTAATCTTTAGTTTCTTCCTGTTCCCTCTAAGGGTCATCCTGTTATTTTTTTAAAAAAGAATTCAAACAAAAGCATTTTCCCACTGGAAGGATTCTTATAATTAATCCCAAAATTTTATTTCAAATCCATTTTGATCCTTAGTTCATTAGTAACTTTTTAAAATCAAAAATCCAATTGCCCTTTTGCTGTTTATTTCAGTTTTTTAAAAAAAATCCTTAAATTTATGTTTAAGCTTCTTTCATTAGGAAGGAAATTTACCCAGTGCAATAAAATATGTGCATCAAAAGGTTCCCAATAGCTGAAAGGCAATTAACAAGCACTTTCCAAAAGTGATTAAAAAAGGAAATATTTAGTTTTACAAAGTTGAATGTAGGAAAAAAAAACAAGTAGAGGTAATGTATATGTATTCCTTTATTTGTTTTCTGAGGTTTTCGCGGGTATTTGTATGTAGGTCTTTGGTTGTTCCACCCAATCAGAACACAGCCAAGCTCCCACCCAATCAGTTCATACCCCCACTGGCAGTTAAAAGGAATAAACAGCTAAGACCACACATTGCTGCTCAAAGCACGAAGCTGAAAACACCAGCCTGAAGATGACGAATGGGACTTCGTCGAAACGTCGCCAAGACACTTCCAATTTTACGCGGGAGAAAACCCGAACAACCAAAGACCTACATTCCTTTATTTGTCCGCATATATTTATTTAGTAAATTTTTATGCCGCTGATTTCTCCCATAAGGTAATTAGGCAACTTACATGTTATAAACCAAGAAGAGAAATAATTAAAATATTAAAACATTAAAACTATACAAATTAAGATTTTAAAATTATACTGTTTAAAACTATATTGTTATTATAAATGTGTGCTGTTTTTAACTTGTTATTTGGGGATGCAGAATTACCACATGAAACTACTAGCTTCCTAATGATTTTGGTATCCACTTAAGTGAACTCAACAGGTCCAAACCATTTTAAAAAGTTTCTTTTCTCTTTAGATAACAGTTGCTGATCTTCCAGGATTAATAGAAGGTGCCCACGCAAATAAAGGAAGAGGCCATAAATTTTTGAAACATGTGGAAAGAACTAAACAACTTCTCTTTGTTGTAAGAATACATTCTTTGTCAGCATTTTCATGCTTAATTTGGCCAACATATGAATTGTGTGTTTGTGTATAAATTTGTATATAAGCCAACACATGGATAAACAGATCCTCAGATTTTAAAGAAAGTACCATAAAAAATGCAGACCAGCTTATTCATAAGTGGCATATTTTTTATGGTATTTGGGTTAAAAAATTGAGGATCAGCTTATGCAGAGTATAAATGATGGTTCATGTTAATCAGTTAACTATTATTTATTAAACCATAATTTGTTGAGTTAATGCAATATCTTAGCCAAAATCAAAACTCCCATAATTTTGGTGAACCATAATATTTGACTGCAAACTGGAAGCAGTTCCCAGGATGAAGTACTGAAATGTTTTCATGAATATAAAACACTGAATGTATATTTCCAAATATGAATTCTTTAACATTTATGGCAATTCACTTTTGGAATTAAAGCTTGGAGTCTCCTAGATTGTCCATCAAAATGCTACTGAGCAATCAGTTTACATAGCAAAGGAATACCGTATATGCCAGCATACAAGGCGACCCGGCGTATAAGACGACCCCCGTTTTTATCGCCGGGCCGCATTCCTAGAATGTCGTCTTATACACCGGAAACTACCAGTATTTCCGGTGTATAAGACGACCCCCGTCTTTGCCGCCGATTTCAGCGCTCGCAGAAGTCGCCTTATACGCTGGCATTTACAATAATTGGTAGTGAAATTTTTGGGTAACTTAATGGAGGAGGCCACTTGTGGTACAATTTCCATTAGATCCAGAATAGGATAATAGCCAATTATGTAAAGTTTCTATAAAAAGATATATGCAGGTATAATGAAACATAGAAAAATATCTAAATTATTTAATGTTTTCAGTAATTTAGAAATCATTTAGAAACATTAAAGTACTATTTTCCAAAACTGCTTTATATATAAATAAATAACTACCTTATTAACTCTTTTCACCTTTACCACGTGAGTGAAAATATTTATTTTTTTAAATTTAGGTTGATGTGTCTGGGTTCCAACTTACTTCTCATAAACCATTCAGGACGGCATTTGAAACCATAATGTTACTAGCAAAGGTAAAATTGCTGTCCCTTTTGTGTTGTAACATTAAACTATATATAGTTTCATGATGAAATATTTATTTGCATAATAAGTCTCTTAAAATTATAATAATATTATAATATTATACGTCTGGAAGTTTCTCCTTGATATTTCTAGGGACAGTTGATAATAAAGATGTTGAACTAATTTGTCCCTGGAAGGGTCTGTTTATCTCAAAGCAGTTTAACATGTTTTATTTCAATACAGATAAGAATATTGTTTTCTGTTGACAGTAGATTTCAGATCTGGCCTCTAAGTCAGAGAGTGTAACAACAATCAAAAATATACCACCACCATATTCACATTTAGTTGTATCTGAATCTTGGCAACTTTATAGGCAAGTGCTTACCTTGTATACACCTAGAAGTATGAACAGAAGACTTTTTTTAATGTTTTATTTAAGAGTGCCTTTCATTGCCAGTACAAAACTAAAGATTCATACTCATGGGGTGAACTAGAATATATAGTTATACAACTGCCTTAACATTATATTGTACCATGTTTAAGTTATGTATGTTAAGTAATACTGAATTGCTTAGTAGTCAAATATTTTCAAAAAAGTGTATGCAAATTATATTTGAAGGAGCTGGAACTGTATAAAGAGGAACTTCAAGTTAAATCTGCATTGCTTGCTGTGAATAAAATGGATTTGCCTAACGCCAAAGAAAATTTTGAAAAGTTAATGGAACAATTACAGAACCCTCAAAGTAAGATTCATTTTGACCAGTTCCTTTTAAAATAAAGAATACATATATCTTTTGGATATAAAATATCAACAATGATTGATAATTGTGGGAATTGTGGCTTATCTTATAAATCAAAAATTCATAGCAAGATTTCTAGTGCTTAAATAATAATTGTAGTTCAAGAAGATAAAATACCAAAAATATTCCATCTGCATAATAATGAATAGAAAAGGCCTTTGCTAATTAGTAGAGATGTAGTTATCCCAATTTCAACTTGAATTATTGTCTTGAACCATCATCAAAAACAAATATATATTAACAATTATGCATTGACCTTTTTAATATTCTTTTTTCTTAGAATTGAAACATATTAAAAAGAGAATAAAATTACCCTCTTCCCTCAAAGAAGGAAATGTTAGAAGCATTGCATCATTTTACTTTGCATCTTCTTTTCCTTTGTTAAGACATTTTGCAGCAACTTTGTACAACCTAATTATTTATGACATATTTTCTTCCTTTCAGATTATTTACACTTGCTTCCACAAAAGATGATTCCTGAAGTCACTGTCAAATTCAGGGAAATCATTCCCATATCTGCACTTACTGGCGAAGGATCTGAGCAGTTGATTACATGCTTAAGAAAAATAATAGATCAAGAAACTGAAGAAAAGATTGAAAGTTATCAGAGGGAGCAACTCAATGCATTACATCTCTCAAAAATATAGCAACGTTTTCCAATTAAACCAATACATCAATTTTTGTAACTCTGCTTCTAACTGAATTCATGCAAAGTTATGGTTGCTTCTCTTTTTAAGTATAAATATGTGTATTTTGTTCTTGTAAAATAGTAAATACATATGTAGATTTTAAAGTTATGTATCTCATGTACTTTGTAGAATAAATTTTAAAACATGTAAATATATAATTTTATATATTGATCCTGGGACTCAGTTTTCTTCATAAAAGACTTCAAGAAGAGTACAATATTTTGAGAGAGCACAACAGATTGTACTACAGATACCTAATGCTCCATGAAATATTTTGGGCAGAAATGTTTAAATTATTATAGCCATTCTAGTGGCAATTGTAAAAAGTCTTGCACTGGTACATCTTTCAGCATGTGCAGTGTTAGAACCATTTTATGCTACACTAGTAAAAGCATACTTGAACTATTGTGTCCAGTTTTGGACACTGGGAAGAGTGCAAAGAAGAGTAAAAAAGATGATTATGGGGCTGGAAGCTAAAAATTACAATGAATGGTTTCAGGAACTGGGAATGTCTAATTTAACAAACAGAAGGACTAGGAGTGAGATAATATCAATCTTCCAATATCTGAGAGACTGTCACATAGAAGAAGGGGAGTCAACCTATTCTCCAAAGCAAGACAAGAAGTAACAGATCAAAGCTTAACAACAGAGATCCAACTTAGAAATAAGAAATTTCCTGTCAGAACAATCAATCAATGGGGGAGCTTGCCTCCAGAAGTTGTGGGTATTCATCGTTGGAGATTTTTAAGAAGAGATAGGATAACCATTTGTCCAGAATGATACAGGATCTCCTGCTTGAGCAGGGGGTTCAACTAGAAGACCTCAAAGATCCCATCCAGCTCTATAATTCCAATGCTATATTATGCATATCTAGCCAGTTATGGTTTATTCAGCCAAAAAGCTTAATATGACATGGCGATTCAGCCAAAGAATACCATTCAGTAGTTCATACATGTAACTACTTTTGCACTTAAATCTAATGAAGAATGAAGGCAAAAAAATCTAATATAAGCATGATGTGAAATTATTTGAGGCTCAGAATATAATGTTGGACCCACTGGAGAATTTTAACTAGATGGGAGGATGGTGGACTACATTTTTTTTTGTTCTGTAGATGGAAGCCTTTCATGGATCCGGGAGGAAAGCTGATACGCACTAAAGAACCTATAGAAACAAATTTTCTAGATGATTCAGTGAAGATTGTGAGACAATTGACAGCCTCTCATTCTCCCGAATTGTCTGTAGAAATGAAGAACCAGTAATGGAGTTTGTACATTTATCTTGTCATTACTACTCTTGGAAGTGGCGGGTGGGAGTGCAGACCAAATTGGAGAAAGAGAGAAGCCATCTGGTTAATATATCCTGCTAAACTATAATTTATTGTAAAAATAGTTGGTTAAGCCACAATGGGTGTATACATCTCATCATGCCATAATCTGGCTCAATAGACATAATGGCTGGTTTTATCTAGCCAGTAGAACTAGCTTCTGAATAAACTTCCATCTAGTTATGCTGTAAATCTGTGAAAGCAGAGATGAGCAAAATGAGGGTCCAGGGCTTGTAGACTTTTATTCCTTTTTGGCAACCCTTGGCATCCCTTTGGTTATAGTTGCTGAAAATCAAGAACACCCATTGCACCATATTCAGATTTGTGTGAGATGAGACTTCCCATTTTACTTTCCTATAAAATGTTAAGTGAACTTAACCCAGATCTAGGATTTGGCTATGTGCGCTTGCCCTTTTTAAACAAGAGCAATTTGTTGTCTTCCTAATCCCAAATCAGATATTGCTTTAAAACAGTGGTTCTCAACCTTTTTAATGCCGCGACCCCAACCGGTCGTAAGTTGAGGACTACTCAACCAGTCGAAAGTTGAGGACTACTCAACTGGTGCAGCACCATTTGCAGAATGGGACTTTTGGCAGGCTCAGCAGGGCAGAGACAGCCTGGACAATTTCTATTGGTTTTTGAAAGCCAATAGAATTAGACTCTATTCAAGAGAGTCTATTCTATTGGCTTTCAAAAGCCAATAGAATAAAAGGGAGTAGCACAGCTAAAGAAAAGGGGGAAAAAAATGACGGACTGTTTGGCGACCCCTGTGAAATGGTCATTCGACCCCAAATGGGGTCCCGACCAGAGAACCACTGCTTTAAAACGTGGCTATTGTTGGTTCAAATTAGAGTTGTGAGATCTGACAGCTCAAGATCAATAATGGGTCCACGGATGCATTGCAGGAACTAAACTTTTTTTCCCAAACGATAATTTTATTAATTAACTTAATTAAAAACTATTTTTCAAAATGCAACTTAAAGCGCCATAAAGTGCAATTATATTTTATAATTCAACATCGATTTTAATATTTTAGGGTAAAAATCCATCCGCAGAATTCACATGGGTTTGTTTAAAAAAAAAACAGTAGTCATCACTACTAAAAATCTCGAAGGCGATAGCTCATTTCACCCAAACTCCTTCCTTTTTGCAAAACAAAAAACAAAAAACCCAAACAAAAAAAAATCCGATCCGGTCCTCAAAGGACAACCTCAATTACAACCGGGAAAGAGGCTTCAATAATAGCTATTGAAAGAGGATCTTGGGAATTGTAGTCTCTGGAAGCACGTGGAAACTTAAGAGAACTGTAGAGTGAGACTACAGTCCCAGGAAGCTTTGGGCAGACCTGGAAAAGGCAGCCACTTCCTGAAAATCCGGGAAATCGAAGATGGATTCGCTGTTTGTAATTGTGTGCGTCGTGCGTGGGAAGCAGGTTAGAAAGGGAAGATTTGCTCTATTTGTCTGTCAACAAAGATACCAATTTTCATTGTACAATAATTAGCTTTCTTTCCTACGGTCGAGATCGCTAGAGCTGTGTTATATTTATATGGGTTAGGGATTGTATAATGATTATTACGATTATTTGTTATCCTCAGTGCAACTGTTGTCTGTTTATTCAAGAGTGAGTCTCATTGTCACAGGTTTATCAGCCAAGGCAAAATAGATATGTTCCTGAAGCACAGCATCCAGCTATTCAAACCAGCATGGCCTATGGGAGGCGGATGGGAATTGTAGTTCAGCAACATCTGGAAGGGATGCTGATGCCTGACTAGTAGAACCTGTTGTCCAAATATTCTGATACTAGGAAGGAAATACTTTTTTTAAAAAAAAATACTTCTTTAAAATTAGGGGCCATCCTATGGAAAAGTTTGGTGGAATAGATTAGAAAAAGTATAAACCATAGTTATCGTTTTGTAAGATTTGCTGCCACATGTTTTCATGAGATCTGGTTTAAATGGACTTAAAATTGAAATTGGATAAATTTGTGAAAGGCAACACCCCTATTTTTAAATAGTCCTTACAGATTTTTTGGTTGGCTGCTTTGAGACACAGGATGAATCAAGTTGGCTGGTACAACTCTAATTATATTGTCTGTTAATTGTATGTTTCAAATAGGTATTTATATGTTGTCCTGAATCATAATTTAACTCATCTCCTGTAGCTTACTGTGGGTTACTTTCATCACTTTAGCCATAAACAGTAATGCAAACAAAATACAATACTTTGTATTGTTTTTATTTAGTTGTTTTTGAGTGTTTCAGTTTGATAATATGATTTTTAATTTTTCTTGATTACAGTAATTGGAACTGAAGAAAGTTAGATACAGTGTACAAGTAAGTGTCTTACCATATTGCAACATGTTTTCCTGGCTTTGTTAATTATATACTGTATAGAACTGATATGGTGGGGGCTGAATGAGGTGTGCATGCCTATGTCATATTTATTTTGGTTCCATACTCTGATTTGAGATATATTATATTGAAAACATTGTGCATATTTTTATGCTCTTCAAATGATTCTGAATACTTAGAATTATGAACTGTTGTTTTTTGGGTTTTTTTGGCAGATGACCAGTTTAAGAATAATGGTATATACATAAAGCTATAGAAAAGCTTAATGAATATATTTGATTCTCAATATGTTAAGATTCATGTTTTCTGTGTTAAAAAGAGTGACAACTGCATTTTACTATATTTAGGGACTGGGTCTTCAGTGGCATTATGTAATGCTTTACGTATTTGGCATTGAATTATCAGTATCGACATATATCCACAATATCTACAATATAGTTATGTGTATACACACAGCTGGAAGCTAAGAAAAATCATGCCTCACTCAGGCATTTGAATGAGGGATTTGCTGCCTGTGAATGATAAAACTCATTTTTGAATGTGCCTTCAACATAATGTTGAGGAGCATGAGCAAAAAATATAGTGTTCACATAAAATATTGCCCTTGAGAAAATAATACTGCCTTGGAGAAAGATAATGAAGGATATGTCAGTGCTACTTAATCTTATAGATTTAGCATCTATAGTAATATATATTTTGCCTGCATGCACAAATTGGTTTGAAATATTATGTTTTCTTTATATAAGGAGTTGGTGATTGTCAGTTTCGTTTGTTTTAGCACTTGTAGGATAAATTGAAGAACATAGCATGTATCTTAGCTTCAGTCTGTATTCTGGTATATCAAAATATGAGTGAAATAGTTGAGAGGAAAGTGTTTTCAAGTGTTCTAATCCAAAATTAGGTTACACAATTGATCAGCTTATGATGATTGTTAAAAATGACAATGGATAGCTCTCCTTCAGTGTAATATTTAAGTTATGTCTAGTTTAAGTGCACAAGTAGTACAACTATGCATCTGTGTAGAACAATATTGTAAATTGAAATAGAAGTTTGCTAATGCCAACAGATTAATGAAAAAAAGAACTTAAGAAACAATAATGTCTGAAATTAGATATTTTTCTGTTGTATGGATACTTTTTACAATAGAATTGAAGTATTTTATAGTTGCTATGGTTATCTACATTTTTTTGCATTCATGCAGAATAAGGATCCCAAGGTGAGTTTGGGCATCATGCTAAGCTTCTGTGTTTTTGTATGTTTAACAGTCATGCAAATGGAAGCATCAAAATGTGAGTGAATGGGCTAAATATGCTAATATTCAGCTTTGTTGTTGTTGTTAGTTGCGAAGTCATGTCCGACCCATCGCGACCCCATGGACAATGTTCCTCCAGGTCTTCCTGTCCTCTACCATCTTCTGGAGTTCATTTAAGCTCACTCCTATTGCTTCAGTGACTCCATCCAGCCACCTCATTTTCTGTTGTCCCATTCTTCTATTGCCCTCAACCTTTCCCAGCATTAGGCTCTTCTCCAGTGAGTCCTTCCTTCTCATTAAGTGGCCAAAGTACTTGAGTTTCAACTTCAGGATCTGGCCTTCTAAAGAGTCGGGGTTGATCTCTTCTAGGACTGACCAGTTTGAATGCCTTGTAGTCCAAGGGACTTGCAGGAGCCTACTCCAGCACCATAGTTTAAAGGCCTCAATTCTTTGTCACTCAGCCTTTCTTATGGTCCAACTTTCACATCCATACATTGCAACTGGGAAAACTATGGCCTTGACTATATGCACTTTTGTTGGCAGGGTGATGTCTCTGCTTTTTAGTATGCTGCCTAAATTTGCCATAGCTTTCCTCCCCAGGAGCAAGGGTCTTTTAATTTCTTGGCTGCAGTCCCCATGATAAATTGAATTTCAATGGAATCCTATCTTATAAATCTATGCAAACATAGCCACTGACTCAAAATATTTGCTCTAGAAACATTGGTATACATATGTGAGTTCTTCTATTAATCTGAATTTAATTACACTTTAGGTTAAATTCCATTCTCAGGCTAAAGAATAGTACTTATCGGCTCATATTTGAATAATAATAATATGGCTAGGTTTAGACCAATGCAAATTAGTTTTAATTAAAAAGTCAGATAGCAAATTCTATACCTACTTGTGCTATACCTAAAATTACAAATAGAAAAGTATTCAGTATTCTGTTTTTATAGTTGCTTTGGTTAACAACATTCTTTTGCATTCTTGCAGAAACTAGGATTCCAAGGTAAGTTTGGGCATCATGCTAAACTTCTGTGTTTTTGTATGTTTAACAGTCAAGCAAATGGGAGCATTTTTTAAGAATTATTTTACTGTAAGGTAGCTTTTTGTATTAAAATTACATGCATTTGCCATTAAATGTGTGGCTGAATATAGATCAGCAAGTAGAAATGTTATTTAATATGCTCATTCACTTGACAGTCAATTTAATTCACTTGGGCTTATTTTCAAGTAAATAAATAAGGGCTTTTGGCTATAAGAAACTGTGTTAAATAATTATATTGACTATTTACATTAAATACTATTTTTGTGATTAAATTTACTGTATTACAGGTAGTCATTGACTTATAGCTGGTTGCTTGGTGACTGTTTGAATTTACGACAGACCATCCAAAGGTACTGACTCTGCTACAAACTTACAGCCAGTTCAGTGCCTATGCCATTATTCACCTTACTACTAACCACAGGAAAGTGCAGTGCTCCTCCCCCCCAGCTATTTCCCTCAACTATCTGGTTGGGTCCCCGCAAGCCTCAGCTTACTCTAAAGCTGGCGTCTCAGCTCTGCTCTGTTTGTTTGTGGAGCCTCCTTAAAACATAGAACCCCCAACAGTCTCGCGAGAAATACTGCTTGCTTGCAGAATAGCACAAAATTGCCATGAGGCTTGCAGTTTTGGAAGAAAGCTGAGCCTTGCATTGCATCATTTTTGCTCCTCTGCAAAAATCAGAAAAGGTAAATTGGGTGCTGCTGGGCCTGGAGCTGGATGTGGAGTAAGTCAAGACTCGCAAATCCCTGGGAGGCTGAATGGGAAGTAGGCTGAGGCCTAAAAGATTTAACAGCCTCCTTGCCCAGTTTTAGGCTGTCTTAAATGGCCTGGCTGGAAGTCTCTTGGATTTTTGGATGGGAAGTATGCCTTGCTCTACAGACTCTTAACTGCCCTTTTCTGTACCAATGGTTCCTTTAGACTCCCTTCTGTGGCTGAATGGCCAGTTTCTGAGCAGGCTAAGGCCTGGGAAAATCCTGAAGGACATGGAGTGAAGAACCAGATGCTTCAGGGATGGGGGAGGCTTGGAGCAGGAAGACCTGGGCCTGTGCAAGGCCTCCAAGTCTCTCCCCCACCACTGGAGCACCCAGCTCCACTTAATAACCAGGGTATTTGTTTAACAATTCATTTTGGAGAGTAAGAATGGGAGATCATTAAGCTAAATCTCCCATCATGAGTTAGTCATCGTGAGCTGCAGCTGTAAATGGGCAGGTTCCATTATGGTCATAAGTTCAGGATTACCAATGCTATTAGGTGATACACTAATAATACTGAATCATTTACTGTAAGGAATCTGACACCCATTTCAAAGTCAGCTGAATCCACCATTTCTTCTTGGTTTTTCATCACACTGAAATGATCTTCATACAGTTAACTTGCTCTTTCTCAACTTTTCCAGGAAACTTTTTTACTGATTGCAATGGGCTGCCGGGATGTTCATGCTGCAACGGTCCTAGCCTTCCTCTCTGGAACAGCTGCTTTATCAGGACTCATTGCTGCTGCACTGCTTCCAAACTGGAGACAAATGCGACTCTACACCTTTAACAAAAATGAAAAGAATGTGACCGTTTACACTGGGCTATGGATTAAGTGTGTTCGCTCTGATGGGAGCAAAGACTGTGTCATTTATGACACTGAGTGGTACACAGCAGTTGATCAACTAGATTTGCGTGTCCTCCAGTTAGCTCTTCCCATTAGCATGTTGACCACAGTCTTGGCCCTCTTTCTCTGCTTAATTGGCATGTGTAACACAGCTTTTGTATCCACTGTGCCTAACATCAAGCAGGTCAGATGCCTCATCAATAGTGCAGGCTGCCATCTTGTGGCCGGCCTTTTCTTTCTTCTTGCATGTGTCATTTGCCTGATACCATCAGTTTGGGTCATCTTTCATAATAGAGAGCTGAATCAAAAATATGAACCCGTTTTCACCTTTGACATTTCGGTTTACATTGCTATTGCCAGTGCAGGTGGCTTATTGTTTACAGCTATTCTCTTATGCCTTTGGTATTGTGCATGCAAGACGTTACCTTCCCCTTTCTGGCAGCCTCTATATTCGCATGCCCCTAGTGTGCACAGCTATGCTTCCCAACCATATTCTGCACGATCACGGCACTCTGCCATTGAAATTGACATCCCTGTGGTTACACGTACTTCTTAAAAGAGTGGGTCAAGAAAGCCAAACATTCCTTTGCGTGTTCTCCCTTTATGCTAGCATTTACAGGTTAAGTGCTTTCCCACAGCTTGGCAACTTCTGCAACTATAGCAAGGGTTTGTAGTTTGGTGACTTTTACTTTCATTATCTAGATCAGGGGTAAGCAACCTTGGTTCTTTTATGACTCGTGGACTTCAACTCCCAGAATTCCTAAGCCATGCCTACCTCTGGTTGCCTACCTCTGATCTAGATTGATAATGAGCCGGTAATGAAATAATAGTCTTAGTTATAACTGCAAATTTTTAAGGGTATCTGAAACCAGCAGTTTTTATAAGTTTATAAATAACAAATGTTAGTATCATTTTACTTTTGCAGAACTCAAGTTTCTTCCATAAAATATAGTATGAAAAATACTGTCATGCTGGTTTTTTCCCAGCATTGAAACATTTAAGTACAGGTAGTCCTTGACTTACAACTATTTTTTTAACAAGTGGTTCAAAGATACAATGGCCCCAGAAAAAATAATTTACAACCTGTCCTTGCACTTATGTCTGGCATACCACTTCTGTGGTCATGTGATCACAATTTGGGAGCTTGGCTACTGGCTTACATTTATGACTGGCTGCAACATCCTATAGTCACATGATCACAGTTTACTACCTTCCCAGTCGATTTTCAATTAAAAACATCAGTTGGGCATGGTGGTTTTTTTAATGATCACATGATTTACTTATTTGTGATGATTCACTTAACAATTATAAAAATGGTTGTAAAATCAGATTTGGTCACATTTTATAACCACAATGACTTACAAAGGAAATTTTGGTCTCAATTGTGATCATATGTCAAGGATTACTTGTACTTCTTACCAGACCACAGGTAGTCCTTGACTTACAACCATTCATTTAGTGACTGACGTCACAATCATGCTGCAAAAAGTGACTTATGACCAGTTTTCACACGACCATTGCAGCATCCCCATGGTTGTGTGATTAACATTTGGATGCTTGGCAATTGGTATGCATTTATAACGGTTGTAGTGTCCGGGGTCATAGGATCACCCTTTGCGAACTTCTGATAAAGTCAATGGGGAAGTCAGATTCACTTAACAAACGTGTTGCTAAATTAACTGCAGTAATTTACTTAACAGCTGGCAAGGTAGATTGAAAATGGGACAAAATTCATTTAACTGCCTTGCTTAGCAACAGAAACTTTGGGCTCAATTGTGGTCATAAGTCGAGGACTACTTGTATTCCTCTAATTCGAAACATTTGTAGTTTAAATCTTTTCTTCACTGATAGTCATTGCTTATTTTTACAAATAAGCTAATTTTGTCTGAAGCTATACAGTAATAGCTTGACATTCAGTATGCAAAGTAATAGTTTATCTACACATTCAGTCCTGTACCTATTCTTGTGTTTCATTATGCACATACAAAAGATACTTGTCAACATTTTAATGACTCATCCTTTGCTCCTATAAAGATTGCCAGTTCTAAAGAAGCGTAATGATAATTAGTGGGAGTAAAACTGCATTGCCTAAGAAGTATTTTGTTTGTTTAAAGAAAAGTTTTAAAGCTTTTTTTTTTTCAACAAAGGACATTATGTAAAAGTCTGTTTACAGCCAAAGCACATGAGTAGTCTATTATCAATATCAAATAGTCTCAGGATTGATTATGGAGGCAAAATCAAAAATGTAGATCAGTTGGACAGCAATTATACTTAGGCTCGTACATCCCTTTATTATCAAATATTTTTATAATGTGAGTTTTTCCTTTATACTTAAAATTGTAAGTATTCTAAATATTGATTAACTTAGAAGAAAATCTGCCTACTCTTATTGAAAAATTCCTTTCTGATTTTAGATTTTTTTTAAAAAAAAAAAGAATTACATTTATGGGTTACTTTTTATAAGTGGATTCTTGAAAGCCATGTTCCAAATAAATTACACTGAGTATAGAATATTTTTATATAATATTACAGTTTTGAAGATGAAATTATCATTAAAAACACTTGCTATATTGTTACATACATATAAGCTTGGTTTGTAGATCTTATTTTGTTTTCTTATTCCTGAAATGTTTTCAGATGGACATTTTTTTTCCATTTTCCGGTATTTACTGCTTTCTAAGTAGTACCAGAAGCATATATGAACTTTGGAGTATGTTTTTTGATCTCTTTTTTAAGCAAATAAGAATTTACAAAAGCTTTTAAGTATATTCTGGAAATTGAACCAAATCTTGTATCTTTCTTATTGGTTTCTAAGAATATTACTTTATTTGCTTTAAACAATAAAAATAGTAACATATGATAAAGAAAGCAAAGCTTTCTTTATAATATCTATCTATTTCTGTAGGCAAATTATTGGAAATTGTTTTGTATTAATGTTTATTTTGTATTTACCATTCCAATTATATGTACATCAGTCTAAGCTTTGTTTTGAATGAGGAATTTCTCCAAGATGTTGGGTATGTAACATTCTTAACAGTGATATTTGCATTGTTTACAACTAAAAATAGAATATTAGAAATGATTTATATTTGCACTTAAATGAAATTCATAAATGGGAAGTGAATACAATTTCCTTCAAATAGCTGCAATTCATGAATAGCCTCAAAATGCAGGACAGGTTTTAACTTATATGTGCTTTTAATGACAAACGAATAACAATACTGCTTCTTCAGTTTTCCCATTCAGGTATTCAGTTTCTATTGTCTTTTGGAGAATTTGGAAATCTTATGGAAATACAATAGCTGCATTCTGATCACTTCTTCTTCTACTACTTCAGTTCTCATCTTAGCAATGATAGGACTAAGAGTGAGAAGGCTCAGATTCTTGTCCACCTGTAGTCATAGAAGCTCGATGGATGATTTTGACCTAGTCATTCTTTCTCAGCCAACCTACCTCACAGGATTGTTTTTGCAGGGAAAAATGAAAGTAAGTCCTATGAATGCTGTTTTGAGCTCCTGTATGAAAAACAAAGGAGGTATGAAAACAATTAGCAAACAATACATCAGTTACATCAGATAGTATAAATGATGGAGCTGATGTACTTAGCTTAGAGGCTTCATTTTACCCTTTGTTAAGAATAATCTGAGAACCAGCTTGTTAAGGTATCATGGGGACCAGGAGACCGTGAGTTCTAGTCCTACCGTAGGGACAAAGCCAGCTGGGCAAACTTGGTCTCTCAGCTCTAGGAAGAAGGCAATGGCAAACCACTTATGGAATCTTGCCATGAAACTTCAGGGACTTGTCCAGGCAGTTTCTGATAATCAGTCACAATTGAATGCAAGCAACAACAAAAAAAGAGCATACTCTTTTTGATTGAGGTGGCATAGATATATCCATATATTGAATGGAACTGTTTTCCAAAATAAATACTCCATTATGTCCCCTGTGCTCTGTTAGCTCAAGCTCTCTGAAAGAAATTAAAGTATATTGGAGTGATCTTTTGGGAGAGGGGTGAATTTCATGGAGATGGTGGAGGATACACTTTGTCTTATGGCTGGTGCTTTTAATATTGGAAGAAGACGAATAGGAGAATGCCTTCAAGAATTGCTGTATTTCAGTTTGGTCATGACTCCATAGGTAGCTGTTCTATATTAAAGCCATTTTTACGGGTTTTAACTTGAAGTATTGGGATGCTGCAAATATTTAACTTGCTTTTCTGGGGATAGGTTTTCACGGCCAGTATCTATTTAACAATGTTGAGCTTCAGGATTTAGTGACTGGTTTAGGCAATGGATTTCCTGATATTTTGCAGCAATTGTACTTAGCATCTTCAGAAACAAAGTGCTTGCCACGTGGACCGCAGGCAACTGAGCAGGGGCTGACTGTGCTCCTGTTTTTATAGCCATACAGTTATAAAGCTATATAATTTTGTAGTCTTTATAGGTGTCCTGACTGCAATAAGGACAGGAACCCAGTCAAACATTGCTTAGTTACCTGTGATCTGAACAGGTAACATGATTGCTAAATCTGAAGCTCAATACTGCCCAACTTGCTTTTCTGTTTTTAAGAGTACAAGGCCTTTAAGCAAAATAAGAAAGTTACCACCAGTGCCAGCATCAGGGGTATCAGAGTAATAAATAGAAACAGCTCTGTGCCATCTGTCCCATTCACCCTAACTAACCACCTTAAATGGGAATAGACAGTATCCCTCACTGATGCTGAAGAAAAATTGAACTGCTTGTCTAGTTGGATTTTGTACATTTTCTTAATGAAATATTTATTATAAATGGACTTTTTCACAGTGCTGGCTGCTTGTGCATGCAGAAGCTATTAAAGTGCTACTTGAGTGTAACATTAATCTGTTTCTTTTGAATTTTATCTTGTTTGGCATGATATAGAGTAATTTTTCAAATACAAAATTTTGGATGTGAATCCCACCACTCGTTTTAGAACAAAATTTATCTTTGTGTTGCATGGAAATGTATAAATTTAATCAGAGTTGCCTACTGTAAAGAAAACTGGTTTTGACATTTAATGATATCCTATAGTATATGTTTTTATGTAAAGTGTGTATTTTTAATTAAAAAATAAAACATTTTGCATTGGGTGATCAGACCACTTTTGACATATAGAAGTCTTCATTGTTATAGTACGAATTCCTGCTAAGGTGAAAGATACTACTCTCACTTAGTATAACATAAGAAATAGGCCTACATGTATCTTACCCCTCTTTTTCCATTCACTCTGCTCTTTTAATCCAGCGTTCCAAATTAGACCATCCTAGTTCAGTGTTCTAGGTTTCCAAAGTATTCTCATTGGGCTTTTTGGGGGAAGAGATTCAAAAGATGGTTAAAAATTTAAAGATGTTTTTACTATTTAGCAACCACTAGCAATTCAATCATTAAGCAACTAAATGAAACCCCAACTTTGCTTATAATCTTAATTATCTTTCCTTTGCTTTACAGTCCTGTGAAGGCCATAAATGCCAGGATTGATTGCAAAGTTACTCATCACAGTTCTAATTGTGAGCAATTGCTAAAGATTTGTACTTATGTCTATAGTTGGGCACAGAATCAGTCATTGAGTAAAGCAGTTGTTAATTAAGGCATGTCACAGATTCACTCAATTACCACAATCCTGGGTCTCCTAAGTGTGGTTTTTAATTGAACTTGCAGGTCAATAAACAGATGGAGTCAGGAGCATGGGGATGCCTTCTCCAAATCAGTTTTCAAAGAATCATAAGAATGGAGTCTACTTGAAGAATGACAAAAGACAGTAGGAAGGCCGCACTTTGCACAGACTGGGTGTGTCAACTGAAAAAAAAATCTGAAGTTAAGCTGGGTCTCACGGGCTGAACAGGTTTCTGTAAATTAGTAGACCTTGAGGCCAGCCTTGTTTGCACAGGCTGATGGGCTAGATCAGGAGTGTCAAACTCGCAACGTCACATAACGTGTTGCGACATATCGCGACTTTTTTTCCATTGTCGGCAATGGGGTGCAGTTTCGGCATGATGCATGCGGCATGCAATTTGACACCCCTGGGTTAGATAGATAATTGAAATGGGGTGGGGGATGGCTAGATTGGTGGAAGAGGTTGCAGCACCATTGTGTTGGGAACTGCAGTCTAGCTGCCTAACACCCAAAATTTATTTGCAAATCCACAAGGATGCCATAACTTTGGGCACAAGTCTCTTTATTCATCACCATCATAATTTCAAATAGTTGCTAAGTGAACAGAAATTCAAGACTACCTGTACTGAATTCTTCAGCATTTTCTTAAAAATTGGAAATCTAAGATACTATTCTCTGGTAACTTAACAGAGCTTGACTAAGTGACAATGCAAGCCGTTTATATTTCCTTCAAAGTAACTCCTGTGATTCATAAAAAAAAGTTATATCCTTACAGATTCAGAATCATAGTTGAAGAATCTCTTTATAAGGTTCTAGCAAAGAGTTTGAAAACAGTGAGAAAACTTAAGAATTATTTTAAAGTTTTTGTCTGGCAAACAGTTAAACAAGAACATGTATGAGGTTTGCAGTTCACATCAATCTCAAATAGAGATCGTGCTGAATGCATTACGTTAGGTAAACTGGTGTCAGCGACTTTCCACCAAAGAAAATGATGCTCCAATCTGTCTCCATAAATACGTAATCTAGCTATTTCAACGTCAGCAACTTTAAAATACGTGGACTTCAACTCCCAGAGTTCCCCAGCTAGCAGGCAGTTTCTCAATCTACAACTTTAAGAGGAAGGTACTTCAATTCCCGGACCTACCATATTGGCTGAGGAATTCTGGGAGTTGAAGTCCATCCCTCTTAAAGTTGCTGAAAATGAGAAACCCTGTCCTATAGAAATAGTTCATACAACCCGTCATCCTGCCTTTCCCCAAACGCCAGTTTGTTAACAGCACAGCCAAATAGGGGTGCCCCGCATCCGCCTTCATTTTTAGAAACGGCGCGGCAGACCGAGCAAGAGAGAACGCATTGCGGCCTGGTGGGCGGTGGCGAGCGTTCCTATTCGCCGGGAGGCATGGGCTTTGCCCACGAAGTTAAAATACGCTTGCGCGAATCAGGAAATAAGTTCTCCCTGAATTCTATGGGAGCGGGTGGGTGGAGAAGTGCGTGGGTTATCGGCTTTGAGTGGGTCAATTGATGGCGGTGATTATGGCCTGCTGGCAGCGTTTCTGGACTCTGGCCGTACTGTACGTCTTGCTACGTCGCTGCCCGACGATGGGACTGGACACTGTGTCCTCTGTGTCGCCTTCGCCAACTCCTGCTCCGAGTAAGCAGGGAGCGGTCCTGTCGCCTATTCGGGCCGGGCGGTGTGGGGTGCATTGCGGGAGGGAGCATGGCCTGCTCAGGCTTGGTTTCCTTTCCCGCCTTACGGCCAGCTTTTCGGCGGTGGGGAGAGTCTTCCAGTCCCTTCTCTTGCGTCCGTATTTCCTGGGTCCATTCTGGATACCGGCGCATTTTTCTCCCCCCTTTTCCTCTTGTCAGTTAGGCTTCTTGCAGATGTGGGGAGAGGGGAGAATGTAAAGCCCCATCCCCATTTTGGGAGTTGCAGGCCTGATGGCTCTGGAGGTGACAAGGCTCAAAGGCTCAGGAACTCTGCCTCGGAGAGCAAAGTCTTTTCGTACCTTTAGCAGGCTCTGTCTCTCTCTCTCTCTCTCTCTCTCTCTCTCTCTTTCTCTCGGCCCCGCCCCAGGCGTCTTTAAAAATAATGAGCTATATCGTGCTAAATCCCCTTCAGTCTTTTACAGATGGTCCTTTCCAGTAATCTGGTTTTATCATTTTACTTTGACCTAAAACTGGATACAGTTCCTGCCCTTGTATTGTTTTTCCCAGACTTCTATGGCCTCCTCTATTACTCCATCCTTCAGGAACCTACAGTATCTAGAGCTAATATCTTAATTTCAGTGAGCATCAGATTAACACTTAGAATAACCTGGGCCCTCAGGGTTGGTGCCTTTTCTTTTAGGAGATTGTGAAAATGTCATTCCTCTAATAGGATGATTTAGCTGAAACTTCTACAGGAACTGCCTGATTTTATTGCAGGTAGCACTTCCTACATTTTCCACAAAATAGTTGGAACTGAATTAGACAGGATATTATGAATTTGAAGTGGACTTTACTGTTGGTATTTTAAAGTGTAAGTTAAGAACAGCCAAGAGACACCTTAGATTAAGACTAGTTGAGGAAGGAATTTTATTTACCTCTCAATCCCATATAACATTTCTGAATTAAAACATCTCTGAAGGTACTTTTAGACATAGTAAGAGAGAGTTAACCATTTTAAGTTCTAATTTATTAAAGGGCTGATTTTATTTTCTAGTAATGTATAGCTTATTCAACCCTAATAGATTTAATTGTTTTAAAAATATAAATTTTGAACATTTTTCTTTTGAGTTGATAGATTAGGGCGAAGATCTCTGACTCAAATTGTCACGGTCATGTGATTCGTTTGCCCAAGGTCTGTAACACTGAGGCCTTTTTATACATTGGTACAAAAGTCTCCAAGGTCAATGAATAGTTTCACTGTATGTCATTCAACTAAATGTTTTAAATACTTTATTGAAGAACACTATTTATTTGCTGTTTCACTTTGGCTGCTTATCTTGTAAGATTTTATATTAATCAGAACATCAATATTTAGTTTGGTTGCTATTGGACAACAAAATATTAAAACAATACAGAATAAGAAAAGTCAAAAAGTAAGCTAAAAGTGCAGGAAAAGTAATATATATATATACATACATACATACATATGGAGTGGCTTTTGATATTCTTCATAGCACTTATAAGAAAAATATTTTTTAACATTTCTTTTAATGTTATGGTTCTTTTCTCTAATTATCCTGTCTAATCAACAAAAACTGCCAATAAATAAAAGTGTTATTAGCAATTCTCTTGAGAGAAAATTATGTCTTATCTTCCATTTGCTATGTCTCTTCATTTCATAAGTATGTTTTCTGAAAAATTAGTTCAGATTACTTTTAATGAAAAGCAGATTAAATTTGACAAGAAGTAGGACCGACATAGGTAGAAAGTGGTCTGCCTGGGGCAGAAACAGGACCATGTTTGGGATGTGTAAGAATTGGGAAAGGGGGATTTGACGCAAAGTAATGAGTATTTCATCAGGAACCCACATATAGGCACAGCTCTTGGGGTGATGGATGAAAAAAGCTCTGAAGAGAGGTCTTCTCAATCATCCAGATCATGGTTGTCCCAAACATGCTGTTTTCAAAAGGCAATTGGACTTTTTTTTTTTTTTTGAAAATATTTTGTTTGTCAACCAAGAAACCTCTTTAGTTCTAAACTGAAGAAACTTCTTGGATTGGAAGCTAAATGTTTTCAAAGTTAAAAAAAAAAAAAGTCTAGTTGCTTTTTGGAAAAAGCACCCTTGGGATTCTGGAGAGAGGGCTCTGAGGAGAACGAAGCAGCAGGATACAAGGGGCAGAATGGAGCTGGCAGGGGCTGCATACAGAGTGCAACCTTCATCTTACTATTTAGGCAAGATGATGTTCTATCCTTCCTTGCAGGGAGAAACATGTTCCACTTTGCCAAGATTTACTGTTATATACCACAACAATTTCTCCTTTCAGCTTGTGCTCTCTTTTCCCAAAACAGTCTTGCTTTTGTACTCCAACTAATTAATGACTGTAGAGTGCAAGAAAGTTTTAAATGACTTTGTCTTTGTCTGTTTCATCCTGCCCCTTCCTGCTCAGTATGGCACCAGTGAAAAGATGCTCTGGGGTGGTGGCAAACAGATTGGAATCTCTGCTTCTCCCTACCACATTGGCTGCACATCAGTCCTTAGTTCAGTTAATATGGTTGTCAGTAAAACCTGATCTAGAGGTCATTTACTGAGTTTTTTTACAGTTAAAAGTGTTGGTGGGACAGGAGTCAGAAGCATTTTCATAATAAAAAAGGCATGTTAATCTGCCTATGGCATGTGACAGATGCAGTTCAGTTTTATGTTACTCTGCAGTTCTTGGGTCACAGTGTGCTTCTGCAGAAGTTTCCATTTAAAATAAATATAGTTCAACTATTTAAAATACTCAAGCAAAGTGTTCTATGTGCAGTTGTAAATGTAAGTTAGTCTTTAATGACTTTACATGGAAATTTTCCTGAAATGGTTACAGTTCTTAAGACTATTTTGCAGCTAAAGAATCATTACAAAATGCTGCTTACAAGATGTAAAAAATAAATACTTGTAAATACTATTTTCATTTTATTCTAGTTAGTGTTTTTGTACAGTAATGCAGATATACATTGAATATGTTATGCAACTTAGCATTGAGCATATTTACTATGCTACAATATTGGAATTTATTATAAAATGTACTTTGTTGCTCAATTGTGCTTTATTTAGGTGTAGTTGAAATTTATATAATAAAATGCTTTCTAAAGCCTAGCATCTTGAAAAGCATTAGTTTTCTGAAATATTTATACATATTTGATTTGCTCTGAAATTTTGACCTTTTTTGGATCTAAAGAGTCTTTGCTTCTCTATCTAAATATTTTTGTCAGAAAATTTACAACCTTCAGATTTAAACTTTCCCATGCAATTTTTTTATTCTTTTTCAGAATGTTCTGATTTTACTGGAATGAGTTGTGAAGCATGTATAAAAAATACTATCGTAAGTATTTTCATTTTTATTTAACCAGAGGAAAATTTTGACTATTTTTACTGTATTTCATGGGCAGAGACAGATTTTTTTTTGAAATGCAAACATTTGTTGTTTGATATCAGTAAACAATAGGTCACTGGCAACTAGAAGACAATAACATTTAGAATTCAATGACTTAAAAGATTTACAGTGGTGGGCTTATGGTAACAAAAGAATCTGAATGCAAAGAATGTAAAGAAGATTATGCCATATTTGGACATTCTGAGGGATATAGATAAGAAATCCAAATTTTCAAAGAAGGTGCAGCTGCAAGAGAGCACAAAAAGTTTGAGATCTAGCTGGCTATAAATTATGAATTTGTATTTCTACCCCACTCAGCAGTTGTCAACTCTCTGTTACGGTTATCATTCCCTGGAATACAATAAAGATGCAGCTTTGAGTTATGTTTCTTTTTATCTCTGTGGTAGCCTGACAACTTCCTGCTGAGTTTTCAAATGTAAGGAAGGTGTCATAAATATTTGGAAAAAGAAAGCTGTTTCATTGATGGGAATAATCCATAGTTTGGTAATTACTAATTGAATCTTCAAGTTTATTCTTCTTGTGTGGGCTCCTAATCCCTATTTTGAAATTATGTTAAATCACAATTTCAATTTTACCCAGTTGGTTGTACAAGCTGTGATTTGTTACCAAATCTTAATATAGTTAATTTATATATGAGGGCAAATTGAAAAGTCTGAAAGGAGGGGAGAAAATAGAGTATTTGCGAGGACTGTGATAAATATGTGAGTTTATAAATGATTTACTAAATATGGCTTGTCATAACATGAAAGAAAAAAGTTAAATTTGTCTCTCTGAAATGAATGTGTTTAATGTGCTGTGTATTTTAAGATTGAAGATAAGGTGACTACAGGTAATCCTTGACTTATAACTGGTTGTTTAGTGACCATTTGAAATGGTCACCCACCCCCCCAAAGCTACTTATGACCTGATTTTGAAAGTACAATAGCTCAAACCCCTCACAGTCACATGCTCACTTTTGGGTGCTTGGCAGTTGGCTTACCTTTATAGCTGTTTGCAGCATCCCACAGTCATGTGATAGTGATTTTCAGTTATTTTTGTTAATTTTTGATATTTACTTCCACCAAAAAACAACCATTAGGTAGAATGGATTTGCATAATCACAGTGTTACCTTTAAAAAAATCACATTGTTTAATGAGCATGATGTTTGCTTAACAATTGCAACAAAAGTTCTAAAATTAAGTCTGGTCATATGATGTCCGGGTTGATGATTGTAATGACTTATGACTGTAATTCTGTGAACAGTTCTGGTCATAAGTTGAGGACTACCAATATTAAGTGTGTCTTTTTAAATTAAAAATGAATCTCTTGGCATGAATTCATATGATGGTTATTTCATGTCCAAGTGAATTCCGATAATAGCTTAAAATCTGTATTGATTTGTTTCACTTTCCTAAATTTGGATTGTGAACTGTTCATGCCTAAACATTTGTTTAGTTGAGATCATGTTTAGAGATTTTTTTAAAAAAAATGATTTCAGAAGAATAATAATCTTTTACAATGAATGGCTTAATTTATAACAGTGACCTTATTATTTAACTAGAGCATTTATCTCATTATTTTCCTTGTGTTATATGATAGCCATTTAATTAAGGATTTTTCTATTCTTTTGTTGTAATCAGAACTTTAGATTCAGCAAGAAAAGAGATTGGAAAGAACAAAAGTGAAGCTAGAATTCAGTAGCACCAGAGTATAGTAGAAGAGAGGAACAGTGATAAAGTAGGCCAGATCATCATTGATAAAAGAGGATGGGAAGCTCCTAATAGCAGAATACAGCCAGCGAAACAAGAGTCACATTTTGTTTCATTAATATGGTTATGTGTCAAGAAATAATACATTAGGATACAAAATTGTGGAAACTGAACAAGCAAAACTCCCCTCCTCATTCATGAGTGGGTTCATTAAGGCAGTATCTCTGAGTTATTTGATCCCCTTTTTCCAGGAAGAGAGCTAGCTGCTCTCTATCCAGAAAAGCCTGGAATTGCAACAGCCATCTGCTCTTTGTTAGTGATGTTTTAAAATACTCCCTTTCCTTGTTCAGCCCAAGTGAATTATTTTACAGATATGAATCCACAAAAGAGTGAAGAAAAGGAAAAGAAGACTGATAAAAATTTTCTGATACTTCCACCAGCCCCATTTTTTTAAATTAAAAATGATAGCTATGCAGCCTGAATTTTTTCACAAGAAGTTATCTTTTGAGCCATATTGAAATTGTTAAAGCAACATAAATGTTTTAGAATCATTAAGTCCTGAATTCCAAGGCTGATGAGTTGTATTGATAATTGGATGATGAATGCAGCAGGGAAATTACTATAGCGCTGCCAGCATTGTTCTTAGGAAAAAATACATCTGGAGTTCATCATAGCAGTGTTCATAAATATAATTGTTCGGCAGAGTAATTTTATAAATAAAGCCAGTATAAAGATTCTGAATTTCTGGGAAATTACATTTTTATTTCTTGCTCAGATTAGTATAAAATACATTTTCAGCTCCCAAGGTGAAGAATGGGAAATAATATGATGGAGCTAGCCTATTATGACCATAAGTCATGATAGTTGTAAAGCGATAATTATGTGGCTAACCCGATTTTACAACCTTTTTATAGCAATTTTAAGTGCATTGCCATTAAGCAAATGCAATAGCACTTAGACTTATATCCCGCTTTACATCCTTCTCTAAGCGGTTTACAGAGTCAGCACATTGCCCCCAACAATCTGGGTCCTCATTTTACCGACCTCAGAAGGACGGAAGGCTGAGTCAACCTTGAGACAGTCAGGATCGAACTGCCAAACTGCTGGCAGCTGGCAGTCAGCAGAAGTAGCCTGCACTACTGCATTCTAATCACAGTGCCACCATGGCCAAAGTCATTAAGTGAATGCCGCAGTTGTTAAGTAAACCCATTATTCGCTGTGGGGTTAGGGTTACTTCTAAGTGATCAGTCATAAACTGAGACCTACTTGAATTTTTAAAACTCTTCTGGTTAATTTAAGGAAGTAGGCCTAGAGTAAATCAAATACAAGTAGTCTTTGACTTATGACCATTTATTTAAGAACAATTTGAAATTGTGACTGGACTGAAAAAAGTGACTGATAACCAGTCTTCACTCTTATGTGTGTTGCAGTGTCCCCACAGTCACATGATCAAAATTTGGGTGCTTGGAAACCAGCAAGTATTTATGATGATTGTTGGGTCCTGGGATCAAGTGATCACCATTTGCAACTATCTCAGGCGGCTTCCAACAAGCAAAGTCATTGGGGGAAACAGAATTCATTTAATGACCATAGTGATTTGCTTAATAACCGTGGTGATTCACTTAATGGCTGCAGCCATCAAGGTTAAGAAATTGTGTGCAATGTAATGACTACTTTGCTTAGTGAGGGAAGATCCAGTCCCACCTGTGATGAGTCAAGGACTACCTGTAAGATAAATGTGCTAGCAATTATAACTTGCTAGCCTTTAAAAATGGGATCTTGATAAATCAAGATGAAATATGATGTAATTTCATTCAGTCAGTACAAAGCATTCATGGGACAAAACATTCCTGTCATAACTGATACTTTGGTATAGTGATTAAGGTCTTGGACTTTATATCAAGAAATTCCAAATTTTACTCCTCTCTTAAGTATGAACATTGGTTGGGTGATTGAGCCAGCCACTCTCTTAGCCCAATCCACCTCAGAGGGGCGTTGGAAAAATAGGAGGCAAGAATATTATGTAAACTGCCTGGACTAGTGCAATAAAGATGGGGTGTAAATATTAATAAGATCAGATTGCCAATCTGCTGGCTTTTTCTGGTACCGATAGTGTTGCAGAAGTGTTAGTTATAATCTTGATAAAACTGCTGATTTAATAATAAGCTTGGTTCATGATAAACTTTTTATTTTTCATTCCTTTTCCTCACAGTGTCTTTGGTGCAGTGAAAATTCTACTTGTATGGATTATCCTGTAAACAAAATCTTGCCACCATCATCGTTGTGTTCATTTACTAAGTCTTACTGGGCAATATGTTGGGGTATGTAATCTTGTATATATGTTAAATCAGCACAGGCCAGAATATAATTGCAATGTCTTTATGAAAGAACATTCAATTCAGTTCAGTGTCTCCTGTGAAATGGTATCACTATTTATTTAGAAAAAAATTACGGATGTCAGTATTATGTAAAACACGGTATAGGGTTAAGAAACAAACAGAAAAAAACCCAAAAGATTAAAATTTATAACATATCAGTGCCATATCAGTACCTTCGTAAAAAACACTACAGAAGCCTCTGTTGGTGACTGGATGATTGTTGTCCAGCAAAGTAGGGTCCAAAGAAGGCGCTTGAAAAGGTGTGAACTACCACCTCCTTTCCCAGAAATATGTCTTGGACCTTAATGTGCCTTTCCCTGGAGGAGCATGGGTTTAGAACACAGGTGGCAGATCTCACAACTGCAGGGATTCTGTCCACTTCCTCAGGACCAGTTAGCTAAAAATCCACCCAGGTAATGCAGCAAAAATATTTCCCCAGCCACTTCATAGGAGCACAACTGGAGTTCAACCCAGAGCAAATCCAAGAGACTTTAACCAATGGATGCCCAGAAGAATCCTCACAGCAACCTTGCAAGAGTTCCCCCAATCGTTCCTTATCAAGGAAAGATCTGTTGTCCGAAACAGCTATTGGCTGGCTCTCAGTGGATGCAGTAAAAGTGGAGAAAAACATTCTTTTCACTGTTCTTATCACGACAAGGAAAACTGATAAAGATTTCACTTGCATTTAGCTCTATTTTTCTTCCCGGGTTGTTCAAGAGATGCCTATATAATTTCATAAATCATGCTATCTCGGAGTTCTATATGTTGTATGTGTGTTTCCACTCTCCTCATGGATTGTATTTTCCTCTTCATGTATATACATGAACTTGAAATACAGAGTGAGTTGTGTACCGTATGTTCTGCACGGGACCATGTGAAATGCTTAAAATGGAACAGTCAGCATTGGGGTGCACTGAGGATAATTTATCTCTGCATCCATTGGCCTGATCAAGCCTGTTTTCAACTCTCTATCTTTTCCCAACTTCTTCCCATATCAAATCTGATCCAGTTCTGTACTGTTTTCCAGTTATCCTGCTAATAGATGGACAGACTCAGACAGATTCCCAATACCCCTTAAATAATTTCCTTCCAACTTTCCATTGGTTTAGAAAGGATATAAAGACTTCACCAAGGTGAAAAGTGGTCATGTAACCTGGATTCTCTGGAGTATTTCCACTACGATAAACTCTGTGTAAAATTTATTGTGATATCAGTTTTTTGGCATAAAGGTGTACATGAAGAGAGGATGTATTCAGTACAGGAAAATGGTTTTGTAATGTCTGAGTGTGGAAAATGTGTCTGATATTTGATGCAATTCTTAGGATTAGCAGGAAGGGACTTTTTAAAGATGCCCTTGTAGTCAGCCTTATTTTATTTTACTTGGCATAGAGGAAAGAGCCTTCTGTATTCATTTCAGCTATGGAGCATGTCCTCTAATGTTTTTTGGCCCCACTCTAAATTTTTAGAAAATTTGTAAGGATATATTGCTTTTGTTTGGCTTTCAAATGTTAATATGATTTTAGTATTTGTTAATAATTTTAAATTATATTTTTTACAGTTTTATATTCAGTATTTGTCTATAATTTTATTAACCACCTTGAAGGCTCTCCATAATAGAAATATTGGCTATAAACTGAAAGACAAATACTGTTTAATCTATAAATGACTGTTTTATAAAAACAGGTAGTGCATATTGAACCTACTTGATATTTGTCTGGTTCATGCACTATGTTTCACAGTAGAGTGGTTTTTTTAGTTTGGTATGATATGCAGATTGCTTTACTGGGTTTTATAAACTTCATATTTTTTTCTTGGGATGTTCTATGATAAACTAAAGACAAATCGTATTATGGCATAGCATTATGTAATAACTGAGTCATTGTCTCAAGTACGATTCCATTGGTTACATAGTTTTTTTCAATGTGTATCTCATGACATTTTCCTATTAATGTGAAGTAGGTGATAAATGAACACTGTGCTAATATATGGATTATGAAACGTGGGCAACTGCACAGTCATGTTACTACAAATTAAATAAAATATCTAAATTTAGCAAATAGATACTGTAGTGATAGATCTTCCTTTTTATCATACAGATACGTAATAGTGCTTAATAAGAGTGTGTATGTAAGCATAATGGACATAAATCACCTTTTCCCATAACATATTTTTCTAATGGCTACTTTTTCTACCTTTTCTAACTTTTTTTTACTTTTAATTTTCAGCAAGTTTGGAAGCAATCATCATCACTATAGGTGTTGTAGTAGGCATCATTCTGGTGTTCATAATTTGTTGCTGCTGTTATTGCTGCCGCAAATGCCGTAGGCGTTCTGAAAGGTACACACATTTTTTAAAAATGTTTTCTTGATTTTTTTTCCTTCTGAAAATAGCATTTTTGAAGATTCTAACACAGGGGTGTCAAATTTGTCACGTGACATGACATGACATATCGTGAATTTTTTCTCCTTGCTGGAGCTGGGGTGGGTGCAGCTTCCGCGTGATGCATCCGGCCCACGGGCCAGCAATTTGACACTTCTGTTCTAGCACATCTGTCTTAGGGATCCAACTGTAAGTAAATCATACCATAATTATACTATAATATAATTATAAAAGATTAGATTGTTTAGAAACATTTTAGGGAAGTCAGTCGGGATTATAACATATGCAGCAGAGATTATTCTTTCTTATTGTTTGCTGGAGAAAATCTCTTTTTCCCTAGCATTTATCACAGTTTTATAGACATTAAGATTGAGATAATAAACAATGTTGGATATGTGAAAACTGTAAGGACTAAAAATTTAAAGTTTTCATCTTTAGTAAATTCTGCTTTATTATAATCAAATGCCTATGGCTATTTTGTAGCTAATTTGATTCTTAATTTTTAAATATATTTACACAGAATATGTGTATCTACCATCCAGATTAGATTATTTGCATGTCCAGGGCCTTACTTTCTTATGTGACTACTTTTTCTGCATGATTTAAGAGAATAATAATCTGCTATTTGCTGTTTTTAAGAGGAAATGTTTGGATTTGAATTTGAGGCATCTTGTCATTGGAGATAAAAAATATAAAAGAAAAGAATATTTCCAAGATATAAAAATATTTAACTATCTTAATCCTGATCTATATGTGTAATACGTAGATTTAAAGTTTGTCACGCAAATGGTTTCAGAAATCATATAAAACTCATTAAATCCAGACAATGTTCTAGTATGATGACTTTCTAATACAGGCAGTCTTCAACTTATAACCATTTGTTTAGTGACTGTTTGAAATTACAATAGCACTAAAAAAATGACTTATGACCATTTTTCACAGTTACAATGGGTGCAGCATCTCCTTGGTCATGTCATCAGAATTTGGGCACTTGGCAACTGCCATGTATTTATGACAGTTGGACTGTCCTGAGAGCATGTGATCATTATTTGTAATCTTTCCATCTGGCGTCCAACAAGCAAAGTAATGGGGAAGCCAGATTCATTTAACAACTTAACTTAATTCACTTAAATCTATGGCAAAAGAGGTCATAAAATGGGACAAAATTCACTTAACAACTGCCTTGCTTAGCAACAGAAATTTTCAGCTCAATTGTGGTTGTAAATTGAGGACTACCCATAATGACCCCATTTACATGCTAGAAAGAAAAAATGAAATAAATAATGAAAACCATAATTAGGGAAAACTATGAATAAGGGACCCCTTTATGGATTACTGCCTTGTCGTGACGAAGGAGCTTGCTTAACTCAATGAAGCTATAAGCTATGCCGTGCAGGGCCACCCAAGACGGACAGGTTATAGCAGAGAGTTCTGACAAAATGTGATCCACTGGAGAAGGAAATGGCAAACCACTCCAGTATCTTTGCCATGAAAACCCCATGGACAGTACTAAAAGGCAAAAAGATATGACGCTGGAAGATGAGCCCCTCAGGTCGGAAGGTGTCCAATATGCTACTGGGGAAGAGCAGAGGGCTAGTACTAGTAGCGCCAGAAAGAATGAAGCGACTGGGCCAAAGCCGAAAGGACGCTCAGCTGTGGATATATCTGGTGGTGAAAGGAAAGTCCGATGCTGTAAAGATTTTTTCTCCATAGGAACCTGGAATGTAAGATCCATGAATCAAGGCAAGCTAGACGTAGTCAAAAAAGAGATGACAAGACTGAACATCGACATCTTAGGAATCAGCGAACTAAAATGGACAGGAATGGGTGAATTTAACTCAGATGACCATCAGGTATACTACTGTGGGCAAGAATCCCTCAGAAGAAATGGAGTAGCCTTCATAGTCAATAAAAGAATAGGAAAAGCAATACTGGGATACAATCCCCAAAATGACAGAATGATCTCAATTTGAATCCAAGGCAAACCATTTAATATCACAGTAGTCCAAATCTATGCCCCAACCACTAGTGCTGAAGAGGATGAAATTGACCGGTTCTATGAAGCCCTACAGCACCTTATAGAATTAACACCAAAAAATGATGTCCTTATCATCATGGGGGATTGGAATGCTAAGGTAGGAAGCCAAAAGATAACCGGAATAACAGGCAAGTTTGGCCTTGGAGAACAAAATGAAGCAGGGCACAGGCTAATAGAATTTTGTCAAGAGAATACGATGGTCATAACAAACACTCTTTTCCAACAACCCAAGAGACGGCTCTACACATGGACATCACCAGACGGTCAACATAGAAATCAGATTGACTATGTGCTCTGCAGCCAAAGATGGAGAAGCTCTATACAGTCAGTAAAAACAAGACCAGGAGCTGACTGTGGCTCAGATCATGAGCTTCTCGTTGCAAAATTTAGGCTTAAATTGAAAAAAGTAGGGAAAAGCACTAGGCCACTCAGGTATGAACTAAATCATATTCCTGATGAATATACAGTAGAGGTGACAAATAGATTTAAGGAACTGGATCTGATAGACAGAGTGCCTGAAGAACTATGGATGGAAGTTCGCAACATTGTACAAGAGGTAGCAACTAAAACCATCCCAAAGAAAAAGAAATGCAAGAAAGCAAAATGGCTGTCTGAGGAAGCTTTGCAAATAGCTGAGGAAAGAAGGGAAGCGAAAGGCAAAGGAGAAAGAGAAAGATACACCCAATTGAATGCAGAATTCCAGAGAATAGCTAGAAGAGATAAGAATGCCTTCTTAAATGAACAGTGCAAAGAAATAGAAGAAAACAACAGAATAGGGAGGACCAGAGATCTCTTCAAGAAAATTGGAGATATGAAGGGAACGTTTCATGCAAAGATGGGCATGATAAAGGACCAAAATGGCAGAGACCTAACAGAGGCAGAAGAGATTAAGAAGAGATGGCAAAACTACACAGAAGAACTATACAAGAATGAGCTTAACATCCCAGATAACCACAATGAGATGGTCATTGACCTCGAACCAGACATCCTAGAATGTGAAGTGAAATGGGCCTTAGAAAATCTGAGCAACAACAAAGCTAGTGGAGGTGACAGTATTCCAGCTGAGCTATTCAAAATCTTAAAAGACGATGCAGTAAAAGTGCTACACTCAATTTGCCAGCAAATTTGGAAAACTCAACAGTGGCCACAGGATTGGAAAAGGTCAGTTTACATTCCAATTCCAAAGAAAGGCAATGCCAAAGAATGTTCAAACTATCGCACCATTGCACTCATTTCACATGCTAGTAAAGTTATGCTTAAAATCCTACAAGCTAGACTCCAGCAGTATGTGGATCGAGAACTACCAGAAGTACAGGCAGGATTTCGAAGAGGCAGAGGAACTAGAGATCAAATTGCCAACATACGCTGGATCATGGAGAAAGCTAGGGAGTTCCAGAAAAACATCTACTTCTGCTTCATTGACTATGCAAAAGCCTTTGATTGTGTGGATCACAACAAATTGTGGCAAGTTCTTAAAGAGATGGGAGTACCAGACCATCTCATCTGTCTCTTGAGAAAGCTATATGTGGGTCAAGAAGCAACAGTGAGAACCGAACACGGAACCACTGATTGGTTCAAAATTGGAAAAGGAGTCCGGCAAGGCTGTATACTGTCGCCCTGCCTATTTAACTTATATGCAGAGCACATCATGAGAAAGGCAGGGCTAGATGAATCAAAAGTTGGAATTAAGATTGCCGGGAGAAATATCAACAACCTAAGATATGCAGATGATACCACTCTAATGGCAGAAAGTGAAGAGGAACTAAAGAGCCTCTTGATGCGGGTGAAGAAGGAGAGTGCAAAAGTTGGCTTGAAACTCAACATTAAGAAAACCAAAATCATGGCATCCGGCCCTCTCAATTCCTGGCAAATAGATGGGGAAGAAATGGAGGTAGTGACAGATTTTATTTTTCTGGGCTCCAAGATCACCTCAGATGGGGACTGCAGCCAAGAAATTAAAAGACGCTTGCTCCTGGGGAGGAAAGCTATGGCAAATCTAGACAGCATTCTAAAAAGCAGAGACATCACCCTGCCAACAAAAGTGCGTATAGTCCAGGCCATGGTTTTCCCAGTTGCAATGTATGGCTGTGAAAGTTGGACCATAAGAAAGGCTGAGCGCAAAAGAATTGAGGCCTTTGAACTATGGTGTTGGAGAAGACTCCTGCGAGTCCCTTGGACTGCAAGGCGTTCAAACCGGTCAGTCCTAGAAGAGATCAACCTCGACTGCTCTTTAGAAGGCCAGATCCTGAAGTTGAAACTCAAGTACTTTGGCCACCTAATGAGAAGGAAGGACTCACTGGAAAAGGGCCTAATGCCGGGAAAGATTGAGGGCAATAGAAGAAGGGGACGACAGAGAATGAGATGGCTGGATGGAGTCACTGAAGCAGTAGGTGTGAATTTAAATGGACTCCAGAAGATGGTAGAGGAAAGGAAGACCTGGAGGAACGTTGGAGGCGGGGCTTCATCGGCTGCAATTTAACATCTTTCCTCTGCTGCGTGCTCCCGTATCCAGTTGATGCTTGTACATGCGAGCGAAGATAAATACGGGAGTACGCAGCAGAGGAAAGATGTTAAATTGCAGCCGATGAAGCCCCGCCTCCATGGTAGGATACACAATGACATCAAACTAAATCCCCCCACTGCAACGAGAGCCAGTACTGCCGGGAGAGGGCGGAACATAACTTTAACAATACCCCCTGAGGTCGACGGAAATGTGAACAAAAGTGCTCGAGAGAACGACGGAAGAAATCTTTACTCCGATTCCCCCTCCCACCTATCAGCTGTTCAGCAGGGAATGCTAGCACAGTCTAGGAACCACGTGCAGACGTCTATGGAACCCGTTTGAATCACCTTGTTAGAAACGGTCTCTCAGCCCTGAAGATGTTGGGGAGTTTTCCCAACGAAAGCTTGGCAACCTTTTAATATAGTAAAATACTTTAATTAAAGTATTTTAACTTTAAACTCTCCTGGTGAACGCGCTTTATTCATTCCATATATATATATATATATATATATATATATATATATATATATATATATATATATATATATACACACACACATACATACATACATACATACATACATACATACATGGCATTTTTGGAATAATTCTTTAATCTCTCACATAACATGTCCACTGGATGTCAGTGTTCTTTCTTGAAACGGTCAAAGTACAGTGGTAGTAAATAAAATTTCCTATTTTGACCAACAAATCAAAAGTTAATAACTAAGAAATATTTTATTGTTGATCCTTTTTTCATACTTGATTTTCCATGTGAGTTGAAAAAAGGAAACATCAACTATTCTACTTAATAGAAAAGATAAATTCAGTAATACTTGCATGATTCATTATTCTGTTTGTCATGTTGTCAAGTATCCTGATAAATTGTCCACTTTAAATCATAAGAGTATATTAGATGAGGTTTATTTTTATATAAAACAAATCTCTTTACTATATCCAGAACACTTTAAATCTGAACTATAAGTTTCATTTAATTTAAGAATTGAATTAAAATTTTAGAATGAAGTGTAATTATAATAGCATTTGATAATGTTGGGTTCAGATACATCCTGATCGTAAGTCAATAAAGATACAGTTTGTAATTAGGCACGCTTTGAGGCTGCAAAAATTAAAATGATATTCCCTGTTACAAGTTTGGTAATCTAATAAATTAATGCCACCTGAACAGTATATTTCTGGCATATGGTTGTTCTGAAATCGCACATTTTTTTTTCATTTTCAGGAGAGCAATTGATGAGGAAGAAACATTTATTGGAGATCGGGAAGAAAAACGATTGCAATCTGCTCAACGGTAAGTTTGGAAATTATTAACTGTAATACTGCTTTCAGCAAATCTTAAGTATTTGGCTACAGAAGCAGAAAAAGATTCCTAATGCCTTTCAGCCTGTCTTTGGTGAAAGGCTGTGAGCTTCAAAATAGTTTATCGGCTTGTTACAAACAAGGATCCAAGTTTATTGCTGGTTACAAGTGGAAGAGTGACAGAATAAATTACAATAATCTGGGCTATTCATTGGTTGAAATTCTGCCAATATCCCTGCTATGGTGCTGCTTCATTTTATAGGTAGTCCTTGGGTTACAACCAATTATTTAACAAGCTTTTAAAGTAACCATGAAAGAAGTGAATTTGCACTTAATAGTTGTCAAAGCATCCCCACAGTCATGTGTCAAAATTGGGGCCCTTGGCAACCAGCATGTATTTATGATGATTGCGGCAGGCTGGGGACACATGATCGCCATTTGTTTTCAACCAGCAAAGTTAATGGGGAAAGCCAGATTTTGATTAATGCCTTTATCATTTGCTTAGCCATCACAGTAATTTGCTTAATGACTGCATTGCTTAGCAACAGAAGTTACGGTTCCTATTGTAGTCATAAGTCAAGAACTACTATCTGTATTCTCCTGGAATTCAGTTCTGCACAGCAAAGTAACGATAAATAATAGTACTTGCTTATATTTATGCATTGCAGAGATCTGCACTGCTTGACTAGATTGATCAGGCACAATAAAAACTTTAGTTTATTTGTTTACTATTTTTTCACATTTTTGTGCCATCCATCTCCCTCAAATAGTTAATGCCTAGCAGTTTATAGGGCACCTTTTCTGTTGCAAATCTTTGCAGCCATTGCTACATGCAAGACAGGCTTTTTTGAAGACGCCCAATTGTTAGTCTGGAATGCAGGAGAAAACCTCTTCTGTTGTTTGTGGGCTATGGAACAAATTCCCTTGGAATATTGCTCCCTTTTTTTATACATAGAGAAACATTGTAATGACACAGCTTTCATTGAGCTTTTAATTATTAATTGATTGTATTAACAATTTCAGTTTTTAACTATTGTAAAAACTTTAAAAATTTTGATAGCCACACTGAAAATAGAAATCCAATATATAAATCAGATAAATATATTATTAAAATACATGCTTTGTCTACAGGCTTCCATAGTGTACACTTTTAAAAAATACATGTATGTAAGAATCACAGATAAATATACATAAAGCCTAGTGAAATATAATTCATTTTTAAACAAAGTTGCAGAAATGTTCTTTACAGAACAAGAGCCAGCCAGCTAGATAGGCATTTTGTCTCCTTGATAAATATCTAAAATAATAAAAGGACCTTCATCTGAAGGCTAGATGGAATCTCTAATAATTTCATTTTTCCAAGAGACTGTTAAACAACAAATAAAATGCTTACTGAAGGTATTAAAAAGAAGCTAACTGCACCTACTGTATTCAAAGAACGGATAAGCTTAGTTTATGAAGAATGCAATTCTAGATCAGGTGAGGGCCATCAGGAGGAAAATGGAAAGAGTAAGGAAAAATTGAGAAACCAAGTCTTTTTGGAGCTAAAAATGAATAAAATCTCCAGAGGAAGTAATGCTACTTTGTTTCTTCCTGTATATTTCTACTACTAATCATGTGTTGGGTATTTTGTGACATATTTCTTTCTGAGGTGCAGTTCTAATGAATTCAGCATCTTAGCTTCTTTTTTTAAACTCTGCTGCTGGAGAAGAGAGATCCAAGAAATGTGTATATCTGTGTGTATAAATTAAACATTTTCTATCTATTTTGAAATTGTTTGACCACCAGTATCTTAAATTTTATCTGAACGTCTTCAGTGCAGCTGACATAGTAATTATTATCACATAAGGGTACCAAGAAATGCTAATGGCTGCTTGGCTGCTGCAGTCTGGATTAGCTGTAAGCTTCTAAACGAGTTTCAAAAGCAGCTACATGTAGAGTGTGTTGCTGTAATCTAGTCAAGAGGTGAATAAGGATTAGATGACAGGTAGTCCTCAACTTATGACTACAATTGAGCCTAAAATTTCTGTTCCTAAGCAAGGCAGTTGTTAAATGAATTTTGACCCCTTTTACGACCTTTCTTGCTGCACTTGTTAAGCTAATAACATGATTGTTAAGTGAATCTGGCTCCCCCATTGGCCGTGCTTGTCAGAAGGTTGCAAAAGGTGATCACATGACCCTGGGATACTGCAACTGTCAAGAGTCAATTGCCAAGGGTCTGGATTTTGATCATGTGACTATGGGGATGCTGCAACAGTTGTAAGTATAACTAACAGTCATAAGTCATGTTTTTCAATTCTGTTGTAAAACTGAATGATCTCATTAAATGAACTGTTGTAAGTCGAGGACCACCTGTAATCACTCCATAGTGGTGTCAGTGGTGTCTTACTCTAAAATGCAAAATAATCTCCATTGGAAGTTATAACAAGAATGATTTGTATTTTCTTTTTACTGCCCACATCCATAAATAGCAATAGTATTTAGACTTGTATATCACTTCATAGTGCTTCACAGCATTTTCTATGCAGTTTTCAAAGTCAGCACATAGCCCCTAACCATCTGGGTCCTCGTTATATCGATCTCAGAAAGATGGAAGGCTGAGTCAACCTGGAGCCAGTAAGGATCGAATTCCTGGTATTGGGTAGTTAGCCTGCAATACTGCATTCTAACCACTGCATCATTACAGCTCAGTAAAAGCCAACATTGGGCAAGTATTTATTCTCATAAGTGGAATACGATATTGCTTTTTATAATCTTCACAGCAATAGTAGAAATTGCTTATGTTTTTATCTTAAATGTGCAATTGGAATGTACATAAATCAGTTAGTAACTAAATTCAAGAAAGAATTTATGATGATTCAATCCAGTGAACCCCAGGAGAATAAAACAAATATCTCTGCCCATTCTAAGTCAAAGGCATGGGTGTCTTTTGGTTCTTGTCCATTAAGTCAAATAAAATTTATTATTTTTTTTAAAACACATTTTATTGGTTTTTTTTAATTCTTAAAACAGCATAGTGCTGGGGTAATCAAACAACCTAGAACAAAACATATATACATAGTACAATCAATATATCAGATATTCCCTCTCTTTTCCCCTCAAATAGCATTGTATATTTAAAATATCCAGTTCTAGCTTAAATTTATCCACGTGAAACTGTTTTAAAGCTTTATAAATTTAGAATACTGTAATCAAGCTAGCTTTAAATAAAAACCTTATCAATTCAGGTATCCCTTCCACATAAATTCTAGTTCCTTAATTTTATCATGAATTTTATTTATTTCTTCTTCCACTAATCTCCCCTATTTAAAATAAAATATTAATCTATCCTATACCTATCTAATCCATCAATTAATCAATCTCTTTAAGCTAACAGAATAATATCAGGCCTTAAATCATTTCAATCCATTAGACAGAATTCAAATTTCATCCAGTTAATTATCATAACTAATAACATCCATGTCATCAAACAAACACATCTTATTAAATTAACTCAATAATTCAATCCAAATCTAAAACATCTCAATTTTCTTCATTCCATTACATAATAATTTTCATACAAATAAATATATCATTCTAAAAATATGTTCTTAATATTCTAGATTACCTTTAATCCATTATATAGAAAATATCTCATTTTTAAGCAAAAATATTGACCTATCCTATATATATCTAAATATATCTATCTATCCTATACATATCTAATCCATCAATTAAGCAATCTCTTTAAGCTGACAGAATAGTATCAAACCTTAATTCATATCAATCCATTAAGCAGAATACAAATTTCATCCAATTTAGTTATTATAGCTAATAACATCCATATTATGAAACAAACAAGTCACCTTATTTGATTAACATTCAATTAATTATTAATTCAATCCAAGTCTAAAACATCTCTTTACTTCTAACTCATAATCTTAATCCTTAAATCAGTCCATAGTTCTAGATTGCCTTTAGTCCAATGCATGAAATTTTAAATTTCATTTTTCAATCTTATTCTAGCCTTCCTCTTATGCTAGGCAGGTTTCCATAGCAGAGCTTCCCTTCCAGCTGATAAGTCTCTTTTTGTTGCTTGTAGTGTCCTTTGATTCGATGAAAACCATCTTGGCCTCTGCATTGGCCCTCTGTTTCTCTTATCCATAAGTCCTCGTTGCTTCAAAAGTTCAAAACTCAGTCTTTGCTTTTTCTGGTCCTCAAAGCCATAAGTAGACTGTTTATAAGGCAAGATAAATTTCTCTTTATTCTCAGTTAAATCCTCTTCTTGTATAATCTGTTTTGTAGAGTAGTCAGGTGTAATCTGAAGTCAATTTTGGGTTTTACAGTAGAGATTCTGGCTCTTAATTCTATAGTAAACTCTTTTATTGTAGTGCATATTTCTTCTTTGGCCTCATAGATCTTTTCCAGTATAAGTTTACAGTTTAAATGTGATTGAGACTTCTCCATTTTAACAATAGTTGAAAAGCAATCCTTTTTTTTTTTTTTTTTTGTGGAGGCTACAGTTGAAGAGTATCCACCCCTACAAATCTCACAGCTGGCTCAAATTATCTTGTCTCTTGAAAAATAGTTTGAAAGCCAAAATCATCTTCAAATAGTCAACAATTACAATATTAACTTTTGACCAGTAGATGTCCTCAGTAAGCTAAAAAGTCTATTGCAAACGCCATTTTTTTTCCTTTTCTTTTCTATTTCTTAAAGAAAGAGTGGAAAAAGAAATATTCTCCCAATATAAAATAATACCGCTCCAAAAAAAACAAAGAACAATTTTTTCTGTCCCTCAACGTAGATAGAGATAGAGTATAGTCTTTAAATGAATTTTTTTTCTGTCCTTTTATAAAACGCCTTTGTTCCCACAATTACAAAAGCCGCTTTCTCCAGATGGGGAAATAATTCCAAGGACAAGCTTTTACAGGCAAAAACAGCATGGGGTGAAGAGAGGAATAAAAGGGGTCTCACCCGGATCATCCGTGGTGGGTCTATAACGCTTAGATGTCAATGTGACTTTCGGCTGGTGCAGCAGGGTGATCGGCCATCTTGCAGGCCGATCTTTGTTCCCTCGGCCCTAAGGAGATAGCTGGAGACACGGGGAAAGCTGCCGCCCTCCCCTATCTACCAGCAAGCCTCCTCCAGGGTGACTTTCGACCCCCTAGGGGGGCTACCGGCGAAAGAAACTCTGGACGGCGCGGAGACAAGTCTCCAGGCATGACCAGCGTTGCCTCGTTCCAGAACCAGAAGTCAAATAAAATTTATTACTGACTTTGAGCTATTGCGTACAATAGATCTCCTGCAGTCCTTTCAATTTCAGCTGCTGAGATTATCATCTCGGAGAAGTTTATTAAAAGGGGTTGATCTGAAAATAGAAGAAAACCTCTGAAATATTCTGATGTCAAAAGTACTACAGAATTATATTTACTGTCACTTTCTTAATCTTTCTATAAAGTACCATAATCTAGAATTTAATTTGTTTTGCCTTTGAAAAAAAATTTCATTTTACAAGCTATCATATATGCTAAAATTTTAAAAGCTTGGTTGATATTCACATTGCATTCATTATGTGTGCTTCAGTCATTGGAAATCAGTACAGATAAAATTTGAAGGAAGGAAAACAACTTTGAACTGAAGATTGATTCAGATGCTACAGAAATATTTACAGATATGAAAATCACACTGCAATATCAGATATATTGTAAATTGTATTGTGTTGATATATTTGATCATCAAATGTATATTAAAATGTATTTTGAGATGTAGAAATGACTGTAGATGTAATTCATTTTCCCTGATTGTAATAGCTATACAGAATATTATTAGTTAGTACTGGTTTATCATTTTTATTTTATAATCATTAACTTAAATATCTGTTATTTTCTCTAATGTTAATAACCTTTGCAGGAGACATGAAAGAAGAGTGAAATATGATGAGCTACGCAGAAAATATGGTATGTATAACATAATTTCCATCTGAAGCTTTTTATCTCAATAGTGTTTGTAAGCATGGTATGTAATTCTGTTTAGCAAAGGGAAATGGGTGATCAGTGGAACCTCTTATTCAATTTGTTCCTATAACATTAGTGTTTTGCAGTGCAATTTGTGAAATTGTGAGGTTAAGCAGTTTTCCTGCCTCATTAGACATTCTGCTTGTAAAGTGATGGGCAGGTTTAACCAATGTCTCTTCTGCATGGTATCCAGTGCCTGAAATAAAGTTTTCTAACCCATGTAAGTGTTGGGGTTAAATGTTTGCCTTTGCATAACATTAATCTGATAGATTACATTCAAAATTTTTGCTGCATTCACATATCACACATAATTAACATGATTTATAATTATAGTTAATATGTAATTTATTTTAGAACAATGAAACACAATTTGGGAAACAAATAGCTTGATGTATTTCAGTTTTTTCATTAGTAAGCACCATACTAGTGATTACTGTCAAGCCAATATCCAATATCCAATTCTGGTTTGTTCAGTGCATTTTTTAAAAAAATGAAGTGTAACTTTATGTGAGTTTTGAATACAATCTTGGCATATAAATGGCATTTTTAACACCAAAAGGTCAGTTAGCTAGTTCAATGTTTCAAGCCTATTGAATTGTGAATGTGTTACTTGCTTAGGATGGAAAAAAAGAAAATAGAAATAAAGAACTAAATATTATTGAGCCATCAATGGCATATATGACCCAACTATAAGCATAAGGAACAATGTTTACCATAAAGTTAAAATAAGCAGCTTGTTGTTTCATCTGGATACAGAGGAATAAAATAAGCAATAGATTAACTTGCTTGCTCTATTTTGCAAAAGGAACTCTCTCTCATATATATGCATGAATGAATAATAGAGGGGAAATAATTTGCTAACATGTTTCTAAATTAAGATGTCTACAGACTTGTTTTATTATGAAAAAGAATCATCCTCCCCTGCTTTCCCCCTTTTAACTTTTCTTTCTCCATTTAAATGGTAATTATACATTGATAATGCATAACATGTGTCCCTCAATCTAGTTGTGGTCCTTTGGGTGGGGGGGAGGATGCACTAGCACTTTGAAAGTGGACTGCTCCACATGAATGGTTTCTTTGTGCAGAGATTTGTCAGATTTTTTCCCCATATCTTCTTGAATGAATATACTTTACCTAAATTCTACTTTCATTGCTAAATAAAACTAAGAATTCGTTAAGTTGTTAGAAAATATATTTGTTATTCATTTGGTACAATCTTATACATTCTACAAGAAAAACACAATGTTTTCCATAATTGTCTTTAAACTGAAAAATTTGTTACAGAATAGAGTAAGCATAGATAGAAGGGAATAGTAATAGCTCAGAGTTGATCTGTAAGGTCCTTGATGCTTTCTGAGCTGAGGTTGTTTTCTTACAGATATGTCATTACCAAACTAGGTAATCAGTGCAACAACTAAGGACAAAAAGGATCAAGGTCCCATATTGTATTCATGGACTAGAGCAGGGATCTGCAACCTTAAACACCCAAAGAGCCAATTGGACCCATTTCCAAGAGAAAAGAAAACATTAGGAGCTACAAAATTTGTGCGCACGAGGGGAGGACCTTCATTGAAGAGTTTAATTAAAAAAGAAATAGAGGCTGCTGTGCATGAGTTCTTCCCCCTCTCTCTCTTTCCCTCTTTCCTCTTCCTCTCTTTCCTCTCTCTCTCTCTCTCTCTCTCCCTCTATTTCTCTCTCTTTCTTCTCCCTCTCTCTCTTTCCTCTCTCCCTCTTTCTCTCGCTCTTTCCTCTCTCTCTCTCTCTCTTTCCTCTCCCTCTTTCTCTTTCCTCTCCCTCTCTCTCCCTCTTTCTCTATTTCCTCTCCCCCTCTTTTTTTCTCTCTCTTTCCTCTCTCCCTCTCTCTCTTTTTCTCTCCCTCTCTCTTTCCTCTCCCTCTCTCTCTCTCTCTTTCCTCTCCCTTTCTCTCTCCCTCTCTCCGATCTTCTGCTCACCTGGCAAGCTGGCTTCAGGCTCTTTTCCAATAAGCTGACACACATTCTTATTGGGTTGGCTCTCTCCTGCCCTTACTGCTTCCTGCAAAGACACAGCAAAGGGAGGAGCCCCGCCCAATAGCTTGTCAGCTAGTCGGAGGACAGCGTGAGGCCACTCTTCTTTTTACACAGAGAGAGAGACAGTGAGAGAGAGAGAGAGAGAGAAGGGAAGCGCAAGTGCCTCTCTCTGTCTCTCTCTTTCTCTGCAAATGGCAGAGGAGGCTGGGAGCTGCAGGAGAAGGCTAAAAGAGCCACATGCAGCTCCGGAGTCGCGGGTTGCCAACCTGGAGTTTGGTTTTTACTCTCAAAGGCTACAATTTTCTCAGTATTATAGGAGTTACAATTCCAAAACATTTGTGGTGATCCAGGCTGTGAATGGATTTAAAGAAAACATTAGTACAGGTGGTCCTTGTATTATGATGGCAACTGGGATTTGAATTTCCATCACTAAACAATGTGGTCATGAAACACAATAATATGTGGCCGCACCACTTAATGATGGCAATCCCTGCACCCACTGCCATTACTAAGTGAGGATCATGAGTCAGTAGGTGAGCATTTCCTTCCTGCCAGATTTCAACAACCAAAGGCAATGGGGAAGCCGGCAGGAAATTCCAGGTGACTTTGAAGTAGGCTGGGAGGCAGGTAAGTGGCTGCTGTTGAGGGTGCACAAGTGGCTGAGGAGGCATGGTGTGAGGTTCAGGAGGGTGCACAAAGGTGTACAGGTGGCAGATGGCGTGCAGAGGGCCTGAGGGGAATGCACAGGTGTGAGAAACTTATCCAGGTAAATTGTGATCTTCCCTGCCCGCTTCCCCATTGACTTTGCTTATGGGAAGCCAGCGAGAAAGATTGCATATTTGCAGTCACATGACTGCAGGATACTGCAACCATTGTAAATGCAAGCTTGTTGCCAAGTGCCTAGATTGTGATCATTTGACTATGGGATGTGTGCGTATGTGCTAGGATGGCCAGAACTTCAAAAAAACATTTGTAAGCATCAGTAATCCAGCTTAGTTGTAACTGCAGGCAGTCATGAACAAGTGATCCTTAACCAAGTAACTACCAGTACACTTGGTATTTCTAATTTCCCATTATTATTTCCCCTATAATAACATAACACAAGTTGAAGTGGACATTATTATAACAGGACAGACATGAGTTTTTTTATTTTTAATAGCAACCTCATATTTGTAGAGATTCTCCTTAATCATTAATCATTAATGCTGTCTTTTCCCTTTTTAGGGTTGCTTATAGTTGTATGCATTCTATGATGACTTTAATATTTACAGTAGTTTTGTATTTTAATATTTTTGTAAAATTATGCAATTTATAACGAGGCATATGAATAGGATATCATATTTGGTATTATATTTGTGTGCTTGCACTTGCATATATGAATATCACAATGAAATTTACTGCATGGATATTCACTACAATTATCTCTGCAACTTATTGATTAAAATCTGGTTATCCCATGTCAGCCCCCTATATATTGTGTTCTGGAAATCTTCTTCGTCCTTGACATTAAAGATAGGACTTTCTAGTGCAACAGAAACACTCCATAAATGTCCTTCCTGCATTGTGTTATGATTGCCCTTTAAACTGTATTGATACTGCCATTGTTCCGCTTATCCTTCAATGCCATAAATTGTTATGTAAGCACCATATGCCAATCTCAATTGCTCATTTAACTGGTGAACAATTTAGTTAGTATATACACAGGGAGACTTCTTTCTGCCTTGATTAAAATTTTTGATGGGTGATGAATGACTTACATTTGGATTAACTTGAAGGATGGTTTAAAGGCTCTTAGACTTTAATTGGCTATTAGGATTTAGCATTTTTACAGTTTAATGCACAGAAGTCCATTTTTTTTATTTCAGGGATCTTGAGCTAAACTACACTTAGTAAGAACTACAAATCTATTTATGAAAATATCCTTTGAGGTGCTAGGCATGTTTCTAGTAGCAAAACAGTCAAATTAATTTTAAGTATTATAACAAAATCCTTTAAATAAGATAAATTTGTGCTGTAAAAATCAGTATGTCTCTGTTACTGGGCATTGGTTAATTATGATAACTTCATTTCTATTTCTTTTATTTTTGTATTCAATTTATAAGCATCATAAATTGTCCAAGCAATTTTAGGAATGTACAACATGAAACAAAACCAGGAGTAAACATAAAAGTCAAAAACTATAGAATTATATTGGGAATAGAGAGGATAACAGCTAAGGAATAAAATCCTGATTTCAACTCAGGATCCCAAATGATTTGTTCTAGAGCCAATGAAAGAATTTCAGTGAAGGACTTTCCTAAACAACCACAACAGGTTAGGCCTATGGACACTTTAAGAAATAGGGTACTATCCTATAGAGCAAGTATGGTCACAGAAGAGCATGTCTTCAAACCTCCACATGATTATTGTTTAATGATGGCATGGAGCAGGTCCACATTATAAGAACAAATAGAATGGGCAGACATAACTAAAGAGAGGTAGTTCCACAAATAAGCAGGCCCTAAGCTCTGCAAGTCTTCCTAGAGGATAACCAGCAGCTTGAATTTTGCCCAGAAGCCTATTGGCAATTAGTGCAGCTGAACCAAAGTGTACTCAGGACCACTTACACTGATGCATTCTGGACCAAGTATAGCCTCTGACTCATTTTCAAAAGCAGTCTTACACATAGTGCATTGCAAAAGTTCAACTATAAAGCATACATGATCAGGAAGGGGACCTTCCAATCTGCAAAAGGGTATAAATGATGAACAAAATTGCTTATAGAAAAAGCCTTCTGACTGGAGCTGCTAACTGCTCTTTGAGCAAGAGTCAAGTGTAGGAGAAGCCCCAACTTCACAGCAGCAGTTCTGTCTGGGGAACTCAATTCCATCAAGAACTGAAGTTGGAATAGCTTCTGGAAATGGGGAACCCTTGAATTTACAGTCAATTAATCTAGCTAGGCTTGAGCCCAAGCTTGTTTTTCTCTTTTCAGTCATTAACAAGAGGACACTGAGACAGGACTTGGATAGTATTTCATGGTTATCTTGGGTTCAGGATGGTGGGATATCTTCTGCATAGGGATGAAATCTGACTCAGTGCTTGCACTTGTAGAAATAATACACAGAGGAGAGCATCAAGCTTACAAGAAGCCCTACAAACAAAGGGTCTCAGGCTTGATTTCTTCCTCCAGCATTTGGAAATGACCTGGAGAAAGGAGGCGAACCGCTGCCAGACAGTATTGCCACATCCAGTTCCAAAGATGAGCCAGAAGAATGCCACAGTCATATTATCAGGTGTCACACAGATCAAGCAAGACCTGAAGAGTTAAACCCCTTCTTGCTCAGTGCTGTGAGAGGTTGTCAACAGGCACATTCTGTCTGCAGTTAAGATTTAAAAAAAAAAAAAACCTTGTTTTGTATTCAAGCAGAAATTGAGATGTTCCATTCTTAATAGTTATTAGCTACCATGTTCAGAAAAGAACAATTGTGGAATCTCTGTTAATACTTTGTTTAATTTTATTTTTTAGGTCTCCTTCAGAATTCGGATCATCCCTATAGTAGATACGAGAATGAATGAAAAATAGCACTACTGCCTTAAAATGTTAAGACATTCTCATTGCACCAAATTTGTACAAACATGTTCAGTAGAACTTAATGTTTATCTTGCTTTTTTTCCCTCCTCCTTTTGGAAACAACAATATTATATTTGCATCTAATGATTCTAGTATAAAATGCTTCAGGGGTTTTTTTCCCCTCTATAGAAAAAAAACCTGGAGGAGTGAAGTTTGAGATACAGAAACAGTTTAATTTTCTTAAACAGACTTTTGAGGGGAGGGGGAAAACCAATTCTGTCATCTTTTCCATGCTGCTAAATAAAGAGACTCTTTAAATCTGTGTCAAGTAGGTGTTGGTAAGTATTTGACACTGCAGAGGTGAGGTTATCACATAATCATAGCTTACACCATCTTCATGTTAATAGAATACAAAGGGTGTAAGTGAAAGAAACTGTCACTAGGCAGTGACCTTAACTGAATGAATGTGATCTGGTGCTTCTGGCTAGCCTGTACCTTCCGCATCATCAGATCCTTAAATATGGCATCTTAATCACTGCAGCCTGCCATTGTCTCATGTTAAAGTTCTTCAAAACTGCTTTTTCCAGACTTTAAACATCTTGATTGCAGTACCTGATCCATTGTACTTAAGAAGAGACCACTGAAATTAACACTTGACTTTAAAAAAAGAAAGTTTAAAAAGATAGTAAAATCTGCAGTATTATATCAAAAACCTATTATTTAGGCATGTGTTAAGAGCTTTTCGTTTTAATCTCTGTACGTTCATAGATTGTGTTGAAAAGCCTTGTTCTTAATTCATTCCTCAAGCAATTATCTATCCACTTTTTCTAATAATGTACAAGATTTATCTATTTACTTTTTCTAATGTACAAACTTTTTGTATCTGTTTCTGTCATCATACCTAACATCTATCAAAGCGGATATTTCCAGTATATTGTTATTGTATAAATAATTAAAATAGAGCTATTAAATAGTAACTGTTAACTGTACTGTGCTTCAGACTTGAAGAGAAGAAAGTGCTTTGAAGCTTATGGATGTTCCTGTTCAGAGCTTTTCAGACCAATTGTGTATTTTGTGTGGGTCATGTAGATAACCTCCAGAACCACACCAGGATCCCAGAGTGGATCTCTTTGCTTTTAGGAACAGTTAAGTAGTATATTTTTTTTTTCACATCTGAAGCACAGCATCTCTGCTTTATTCAGATACTTATAGTTTAAACTGCTTTTTTAAAACTGTTTTTCTTAAGCAGGGAAGAAAATGATCTAATAAGGACTGAAGTTGCTTCATAGTGAATATTGCATAGCAATTTGAAAATGTGGGAAGTAGGGTGGATTCAGTAGAATACTTTCTTTTTCAGAAGAACATGCTATAACATTTTATTGTGGGTAACATTCTTCTTTATTTAACAAGCCTACAGACTTTGTCATGTCATTACATAGCTGAAGTTCCCTAAACAAAACTCTGAAAACTAAGGCTCGCTAATCTTAACATTCATTATGAACATGTGATTTTCAGGAATAGCTCACCACAGTTTTCCCATATCAAATTTGCTTTGCAGAGTTGATGGTCTTTCAGAAATAGTGTGAAAAGGAGCATGTTGAGCCAAAGGAAGAGCAGTCTTGTTCTATTAACTGAAGCTTTCACCCAATCCAATACAGTGTAAGGCCATTAGTAAGACCTAACAGATCAATTGTGTATTTCTACCTGGGTGCAACATCAAATTAAGCTGGAACAATAGACACTTGCTACTTAATCAACTTTTTTTGGTATGTAGAGGCAAGTAGAGACATACCAACCCAAATTGTAAAGCAATTTGAAATAATGTGGTTGGTTTATCTTTCACCTTATTTAAACCAGATTCATGATTTTTGAAAACTTACAGCTTTGGATACTATTTCTATAGTGAGTTCTCACTGGAGATATCTTGTGAAACTGGAAACTGCATGCGATGTGAAAATATTTTTTATTAGATCTGAACAGTTAATTGGACTGCTAGCAACTTCTCTTAAGTATCTGATGGGTAAACATTTATTTGAGCCTACTTTGTGAATGATTAATGTGAAAATGTAATTGCACCTTATGCTTTTAATTCCCATATTAGCCTTGCTGTTCAGTATTCCCCTTTGTCTGGACAACCATCTATGTAGATTATCTGAGGATAATAATTTGTGAATTCATCAAGGATGAGACATTATGAAAAATTTGCCTCAATACATTAAGAAGATGCATAAAAGTTTAGGTTTTGTACCTAGATATGATATACATACAACTGAAGGATATCTCCGTGTTTTCTAATTCACATGAATATTGCATTAATTTTAAAAAAATCACTTAGTGTATTGTACTTTATTTAATTGTTTATCTTCATGTTTTACCATGTTTAATTTTGTAGTTTGTATGTTGTTATGTTTGCAAATATGGATTATCAATATAATAAATAAATTAAGGATATGGTTCTACCTATGTTTATGTGAATCTTGAATTCTATTTTATCCATGAGGGAAAACCAGAACAACTCATAGCTATAGAGGCTTCTGCTGACAGAAGGAAATTTAGAAGAAGTGATTGATTCCACCTTCAGAAATCTTTTATACTGCCTCTCCCCTCATAGCGAAGTGTCCCCAATCCTGTGGAACCCATCACCTTTTTGTAAGTTTGCAATTTCTTCCAGGTTAATGTATTTTGTGTCATAGTGGTTATATTCAGTATTCTAAAATACAGAACCTTAGATGAAGAAAATGGACTAAATGTTCTTGGTAAAAGAACACAAAATATACAGGTAGTCCTCATTTACAATGGTCAGTTGTGACCATTTCAAAATGGGTGCTTTATAGCCCATAAAAACTTTTCTGGTCATTTTAAAATATTGCAACAATCCCCCCTTGGTCACATGACTGTATTTTGGGGGCTTGCCAGTTGGCTTGCCTTTATTGCTGTTTGCTACATCTCATAATCATGTGACCCTGATTTGCCATATTTTTGCCAGTTTTGGCAAAAATGCCCATTTGGAAGAATGAGTTCACACTAATGACTGTGGCATTTGCTTAAGGACTGTGGATTCACTTAATGGCTGCAATGGTTTACTTAATGACCATGGATTTGCTTAATGACTGCAGTTTGTCGCTTCATCTTTGCCGCAAAAAATGTAAAATTGGGCCATTCATTGGTCCTTGACTTATGATTAAAATGACTTAGAATCAGAAATACAGTCATTAATCAAGTACTATCTATACTTCAATATTGGGAAATGCTTCTTAAGAATTTCTTATAGAGGAAAAATAGCTTATATATTATCAAGCAATGAGAATACTGTGTTTCGAATTGTTGCATAAGCTAATGTTGCCTGAGGGGAGATGGAAATGTTGAGTTTCCAAGTCAGACAAAAATAGCATGTCTGATTTGGTTAAGGGCATAGTTTTGTCTCTAATTCATCGACTGAGTTACAGCAGCTAGGATTAATATGTTGCAAAGATGGGGAAATGGTGGCTTAGATTTTTTTTTACATACCTTTCAAACTAGCAATTAGCTATGTAATATTGTCTTACTCATTCTTATTTGCTGAACAGCAGATGCACAGCATGGGGAAATAGGCACAGCTATTCTTGCAGACACCGTAAAAATTGTTCAGTACTATCTTCTAAGTATTCCCTTCTAAACATGCACAAAATGGTGATTTATAAGAATTAGCTATCTTTGGCCTGTATACAAAGTTGCAATGTGTGTTTGAATTCTTTCTCAAAATTAATTTTAAAAAGTATTTTTCAAATCACAGTTGCCTGTGCCAGGTTCCCTAGAATTGGACAGGAAGTTTACGAACACTAAAGACCAAAGGCAGCCATTTCCTGTAGTTCATGCCAATGTATAAACAGCCTTTTTTAGGGGCCTTCTCCAAGTTGGTTTTCTAAGAAGATGCTCTCTTTCCTGATCTCTCCGTTCCTGGGGACTGCTTCGACAAATCTGTGCAGTTTTCTTGAGAGCATTTTGAAAGCGACTTGGTCCTGCTTGCTTCCTAGGGCTGTGAAAAGTTAGTGATGCAAGTTCACCATCTGATTTCGTGTCTTAAGAAAAGACTGGGTTTCATAGGCCCTCCCCCCTCTTTTCTGGCCTTGTGCTTTAACCACTGAGCCAAACTGGCTCTTGGGATGTTGAAAATTTTCATAACTATTTCCCAGCATGATAACTTTTACAGGCATCTGGAAGGTGAGAGATTAAGAAATGCTACAGTAGGAGCTACTAAAAACATTATTTCAAAAGAAGTATTTCGCTTGCATCTCGTTATAGGGATAAAAAAAATCTGGGAAGCAATTGCTAGTCAATATAGACAATGCAAAGATTGGTGGCTTAGCTGGACTAGTCCAACTCAATATGACAGTTCCCTATTTTCACACATCCCCTTTTGGAGACAGTATTGAAACATCTACGATCCTTGACTTAAAACCAATCATTCAGTAACTGTTCAAAGTTAAGATAATGATGAACGAGGGACTTACAATTTGTATCCAATGTTATGGCCATTGCAATGACTCTCCCATAGTCAAGTAATTACAATCTGGGCACTTGGCAACCTGTTCATATTTATGATCTCTCAATTTCAGAAGCCTCTTGACTCTGCAGCTGAAGATCCAAGTGGTTCTGAGATCTTTGTACAATCTGACCTTCCTATGCATTTTCTTGCTTCCTCCCCCACTAGCTTGCAAGTTCCTGATGCGTTCCCTCTGGCTTCATTGTAGGAATCCAGCAGGAAGCTGTTGCACCTAACTAAGTGAAGCCAGCATTCACTTAGTGACAGCAACTGGGATTAACTGGATTGCCATTGCTAAGCAAAAAATGTTGTGCTTTATCACTTACCAACAAAAATTTCTGGTCCCAATTGGGATTGTAAATTGAGGACTTATATGTACCCCAAATTATCAATCATCTTATTTACAGCAAGGATGATCTGTGAGTTTCATAAAATGTACCAAAGGAAAGGAAAACAGTTTCAATGAAAAAAATTTAATATGAATAAAACCATTTTTAAAGAGCATGGCCACCTCATTTATAAACATTGAAGGTCATTTATCATTTGAGAGAAACTTTTTGGAAATAGAGTTTACTTGTTTTAGGAGCAACTAGAACAAAGAGAAAGAGGCAGGCTTAGAGTTAAATGTCTCATAGTATCCAAAATGACTTAGTATTGTTATAGAGTTCTATCTTCTCATTTTAGTATGTATTATTTTTAACTATCTTGTTACATCTCTTTTTAATATGGCCATTATATTTGCCTTCCCAAAAGCATACCAGTTTTCATTACTCTAATTCTCAACCAAACTTGGTGATCATGTCTATGAACAGTCAACCACATTGTCTTCTCTGATCACTGCTTTTGATTCTAATCAAAATGATAGGCAATGTCTTTTGTCCATCTGCTATTCATACCTGATACATTTCATCCACATTTTGACAAATTTGTAGATATCCAGTGCATCGAAAGAAATCTGCAGCTCATTCAGTGCTTAGTTCAGCTTTTGGAGATTTAAACTATATCTCCGTTGTAGAGAATATAAGACGAGAATCATTATGCCCATGATCCAATAAAGATAAGGTCACTTTGGCAGATTCAGTAAATAGAAAAGCAAGCATTGTTTGTTATACAGTTCTTTTGTACTCCTGCTTGTTGTTTCCAGTTTCTGGTATCACTCTGAATGCATTCTGTTTAGGATAACAATCACTTAGATATGTTGTGATAATACACTGATGTTACATTTTTAGCATGACACTGGCTAGATGAATTAAGAATTTTAATGAATTTAACCGAAAACTGAAAGTTAACTTGCTCTTTTCTTTGGACAAATCATTTGATGGCCCTGCTTAACCCAATCAGTCACTTATTGATCAACTTTTGTTTTCTTTCAGCAGCATAACCTCATGCTAACTGGATCAGAGGTGACCAGTTTGAAATTATTGAAGAAGAAATTTCTTGATGTCGTATAAAACCTCATACCAGGCTTTCATGAGATTATAATACTTTTAACACAAGACTAATATAAAGGACTACAAAACTGTGAAATGTTTTGAGATCTCCATATCTCACTATCAACAAAATATTGCAGCAACGGCCTTGTTTATACAATAGCAGTGAGCTAGTAATCCAGTTTAACACTGATTGTTCAGGCAGAACCCAATTACATTAATGGGTCAAGAAATGCCATTTTTATCAAATCCTCATCCACTTTCTCTAGTTCATCTTACACCAGGAAAATATGAAGAAAACTTCATTGCATCATTGTCTACTAGTCCACTGGCCTGGCAGACACTGATTCTTTTTCCCAATTATACTCAATTGGTTATGAAGAAGGGACCACTGCATTGTGGAAAAAGGTGGGTGTAAATGATTGATGTAGTCATATAGGGTTAAACAAAATCTGCTTGGTTGTTTATGGAAGAATAGAATATTTCTCTGAAACGGATTGGCTGCAGCAGTCATGCACACCTACTCTGCCTCGCAGATCAATGGGGAATTGGATATGAAAAATACATTTCTATATTTTGTGTAATCATTAGCATTTTCAGGATTTTTCTTGTGAATATAAGTTAAGATTTAAGAAAGGTGCAGCTGTACTTCTATTGAGATAAATATATTTTCTTTTTATAGAAGGCTATTTTCTCTGTTTCCCAAATCATGTGTTTTAGTTAATATCAAACTAGGTGTCCTTCTTTCTTTACAACCTTTTGTTTTCTCAATGATGTAGTTCCATGAAACTAAAAACTCTTTAACCTCTTCCATTTAGAAGATGACACTTTGTCATAAAATGTTATCTGCCTGAATATCATAAGAATGGCATGGAAATGTAGTGATCTGAATGAAACCATTAGAGTTGCATATTTAGAGAAGGGAGATCTGCTTCCTCTATTTATAGCTCCAGAGAGCTCATAGATTCATGATTGTGCAAGGATTTAGGCAGAACAAGTCCTAACTTTGGTAGAATGACACTATTGCTTCAAGTAACCAATGCCGAGATTGCTGTAGCCTACAAGTAATGATCCTTAATGTGATACCTGGAATTTGATAGCTGAATGATGTGGTCATAAAGCAAAATGTAATGATGGCACCAATTTATGATGGCAGTTCTGATTGTGGTTCAGCAAATCATATATTCGTTAGGTATGATATTACATGACTGCAACTTGGGACTTCCTTGGGTTTTCCCACTGCCTGCTGAAATTGACAGATCACAAATAGTGATCAAGTGATCATGGGACACTGTGACTATCATAACTTTATGCTGCAGTGGTCACAATTTGAGACCAGCTACAACTCTTTTCATTCAATCTCTTTGTAACTTTGAATGAGCACTAACAAATGGTCACTAAATAAGGTCTAGCTGTACTTGATAATTTGTCACCCCAAATGATTCTTATGCTCTTAGCAGAAGTTGCCTTATTGTGGAAGAGTCAACTATCAATTTGTGTGATTTCAATAAGTAAAAAAGAGAGGCAGCACTTTCTTTCCTTTCAAATAATAAAACCTCAGAATCCAATTGGGAGCAAATAGATCAAGACCAGCCAGCATGATTCATTATTTATTTATTACATTATCATCCTGTCCTTTTTTAAAGGTCTTCAGTTAAACATACAAATCTTCTTCCTCTATGCTTCCCCCACTTTATTTTGCTACTTGGTCAGGCAGGACAGGCCAAGAGGCAGTGATTCCTCCAAGCTGACTCTGCGCGCTGCCAGGGTCACTCTCCTTAGGCCAGGGATCTTCAAATTTGGTCCTTTTATGACTTGTGGACTTCAACTCCCAGAATTTCTCAGCCAACATGCCTGGCTGAGGAACTCTGGGAGTTGAAGTCCACAAAAGAGCTAAGTTTAAGACCCCTGCCCTAGGCCAATGCAGGTGCTCCACAGGGAAAGCTGTGAGAAATATAAGAGGTAGCAGAGAAGAGCTGAAGAATTCAAAGTGCATCTTATTTATTTCACTTCTTGCCTGCCATAATTCAGAGGATCTCATGGCACGTTTCATATTAAAACCAAATAAAAATAAATGACAAATTAATTAAAAACAAAGAGTTTAAAACAAACAACAGAGAAAACAAGACATTTAAGGGATAAAAGTTATCTAGGACACAAAAGATATTCTGAGGTATTAATCCTTTTTGGAGAAATTTGGTTTCTATAACGATTTATACAATTTTCAGTTTGTTGATTTTATGTTAAAAGAGTAAGATGAAAAGATAATTCAGGAGTTAATCTTTAAATCTGTGATGTTTAATTTGTTTAGTAGACCATGTTTTAAACAGGAATAATTTTGTTTCCCTCATTTTATTGAGTGTTTCATTCATTATCCATTCTCAGCTCTCAGAATGGAGTGGTTAATCAAATACAGTAAATGTGATGTTTTATTTTTCTGGCATATGAATGATATGAAAATTCTGCAAACATGCTCATGCTGTAGCTTAATGTTTTTTAGCACACATATTAGATCAAACTGAAATTCAGTTTAAGATGAATTGCACATATTTATGTACTACTGGGCTTATTTATTATACTTCAGCTTTGGGGACTACAGAAAAAATATTTGCAGAAAACTTAACGTGAATACATGATTGCACTAAAGGACAGCAGTCATAAAAAAAATCCCTGCCTAAACCCCATTGATATTCATAAGAAGCTGGACAATATCCTGGTTCTCATGCATATCTCTACCAATTCAACAGAACCACACAATAGATTTTTCATAATGGATGTGCCCAAAGTGAAACCTACTTTTTAAAAAAAAAAATTTCACTGTACAAATTATAGTGCCTTTTTTTTTATTTAGATCCTACATTCCTTTTCCCAATTTCAATCTTACTAAAAGAAAAGTGTTTGAATAGATTCTTAAACTAAGATGACAATCTTTGAGTGATATGGGAACTCAAGTTCCTCCAGATATTGTTGTACTACCATTTTTAATAACCATAGAAAGTATGAGTAATGGCTAAAGTTTCTATAAATCAACAATGCTTTATTTCCACTTCTGAAATAAATGTAGAAGTTAATAGAAAGCTTTTAAAAGAACATTAAAAAAATTTATCTTCTAATATTTGCCACTAGTAGTCATGGCTGAAAAGCACCTGATCCATTTGCTATTCCTAGAAGTCATGCTAAGGAACAACCAGCATGAAATCATCTATCTTGAGTAATTAGAGGTTCCTTAAAGCAGGGCTTTTCAAGCGGTGGTACGTGTACCATCTGTGGTACGTGACCGTCCTAGAAAAGGGGAGGGGAGAGGAGGGAATGAGCCAAAGCGACCAAAGCCTGAGGGAGAGGTAGCTGCAACTGTAGGACTGTCTGGGCTCGGCAGAAGGAGTCAGCATTGGCGCTTCAGAAGCAGCTTGGAGCTGGAGATGAAGAAAAGGGGGGAAGAGAGGAGAGGCTATAAAAGGAGGTGGTTTGGGCGGGAAAGGGGAAAAAAGACAACAGGGAAATATTTAATCCCTTTAAACAAATGTAATTAGTTTTACCCCCTTTAATTAAGTCTGTCTATGGCTTTTAGAAAGTTTTCTTTGAAGGTAAACAGGCTTAATTTAAAGCTAAAGCTTTTCGCAATTGCCAGAGCCTTTCAGTCTCGGTTGCAACATTGTGACACATGACATGCCTGAGACAGCTTAAAGGAAAAAAACTTGGAGTTTATATGTTTATTTTTGAGCCTTTCTTGCTTTGCACTTGATTCATGTACCTTTAAGGGTGCAGTGAAGGGATTTTGGGGAGTGCATTCTTACTACATTGTGGAAAATGCTTAGAAGGGAGAGAGGAAGAAGGGCCATGAGGGCTGAGGAATTCTGGGAGCTGAAGTCCAGAAGTCTTAAAAGTGCCAAGTTTGAAGACCCCTGTGCTAGCTGGTATTGGTGCATATTAATAAACATGGATAAATTCATCATACATTTGTCAGTGTAAAGGGAAAGTGATTCAGCAAAGGAACAGCTACCGAAGAAATTAAAACTGGTGCTTTTTTCCTTTTTTTCCTACAGTTTGTAATATTTTATTAGATTATAGAATAAAATACAAAAATACAAAAGCAAATAGTAGAACACAGTAGGGAGGAAAAAGGGGGGAAAGTGAGGGGGAGAAGGGAAAAAGAACAGGCTTCTTCTGTTGCAGTAGAAGGAAGCATTAACATTGAACCTTAACTTTTTACTTTTCCATAATATTATAAACTAACCATTTCTATAACAACAAATGAATATAACCAGTAAAACCCAAAATCCCCCCCTTTTTTTAGTCATCAAGTTTTTGACATCTTGCTAAGCACTGGTGGTATTCAAATAGTGTCATGTCCTAAAAGTGGTACAATCTGTGAAAAGGTTGAAAAGCCCTGCCTTAAAGAAACAGTCCCCAACCTTTGTGGCTTGGCGAGGGTGGTAGAGGGCAATGGGCCTGCATGAGCAAGTTGAACTGTGCATGTGTGTGCACATATGCCAGCCCACTGCTCGCACAAGTCAACCTGTACACACATGCATACAGCCAGCCCACTGTTCTCACAGCCCAGTTCTGAATAGGACATAGCCTTGTACTCGGCTGTGGCCAGGAAGTTAGGGACCCCTGCCTTAAAGTATATAGTCCAGCCACAGAAGTGGAAAAAGAGAGGTACAGGTAGTCCCCGAGGTACGAGCCAAATAGAGCCTGTATATTAGACTCACAATCGTCAAATGAATCAGACTCAACATTTTAAAATCAGACTCATTAATTGAATCAAATGGGTCGTTAAATGAACAAAGATTTGACTTATTATTTCCTCCAATGGCTGTCTGAACTGAAAGACATTTCCAGCTGCTGCTGCAGGCTGTTTCAGGCCACCAATCAGCTGTTTCAGGTTTCAGGAACTATAGTACTGTAAACTGCCTCCCAAGCAGGCAGCAGGCTTTTTAAAAAAAAAAACGATTTGTTGCTAGGCAGTTCAAGCTTCTTCAGAGGGGAGGGGAGTTTACAGAGCTCTCCTATTGTAGTTGCCACTAAAGTAAGTAGCTTTAGCTTAAGTGTCTCCAGGCAGAGGGAGATGGTGGAGTTTACCGAACTATCAGCTTGCAATAGTAACTGAGATGGAAGCAACCTTGAGTTCATCTAGTCTAACCCACAGTTCTCACAAGAGAGGACAATACTGTACTGTATTTCTGATAAATGTTTATCCAGTGAGGGAACGCCCACAACTTCTGGAGGCAATTTAAATTTAAAACCTTTAAAAAGAAAAAAAAACCACTGCCCCCAATCAGCAAAAGCCCCTCTAGGCAAAATCCAAAATGGGGAGGGGGATTTCCTTCCAGTAAGCAGTCAGCAAAATCTCTGGTGGGTCTATGCTAGGGAGAGGAGGCAGGAGCAGCCATATGCTATAAATTTCAGGCAAATGAAAACAAACGATCTTGCAAAGTACTGTACTTACAAACACAATAGAAAGCAGAGCAGTTCCCAAAGTGATTACAAACAATACAGTACAGTACTTTTTATGTTTTGGAGTTTGCGGTATTGAAGCAAGATATATGTTGTAAAGTACTTCTTTATTCGTTCCTCAACTCAACTCACTACCAAGCAGACACGCAGGCCTTTTATAGTCTCCCCAAACCCAGGCAGTCCAGCCAATAGGGAAGAACCTTTTTTCACACCTTGCGCATGTGCACAAGCCCGGGACCGTTTGCAACAGCAGGCCCAGGACACAACACCCCTCTCCCCTGGATGAAACACGCCACAGAAGGCACAATAGCCCAATACAGGTGTCTTGGACAGGTTAAGTGTTAAACACAAGTTTCTTTTACTGTGCATAGGCAGAGCATTTTATACTAAATCATAATAATAACAAATAAACTTTTAACAAAATAATTACAACAACCACAGTGTGGAACATAATTCTTTGACTAGTAAAGTGGCCTTTGGACTGATAGTAACCTTACATAACCTTTAAGGTATTTAGGTGGCCCTTTGGCCCTTTGTGACCATCGCAGGTTCAGGGAGGGTGCCTGGCGTGACAGCTCACCTGCCAGTCTAGGCAGACCAGGACTTCTATTTAATGGTGCCTGGCCTACCTGCCCGTCTGGTGGGCTCGATAGACCAGGACTTTGATGCCTTATAATTCTAGGTGACCTACTCCACTGCTGACTGGCTGGAGCCTCCGAATCCAAGCCAGGTTTCCTCGGTGGGGTAGAAATCCCCAAGCCCAATGGTGGAGTGGAATTCTCCAAGTCCACAATGGACTTCTCTTGGGAACATTGTCCCTCAAGCCCGCAACCAGCATCGGAAGTGGCCTTCATTGCAGAAGTGCCCCAGTAGTCCCAGTCCCTTGTATATGTGGCCGAGGTGTCAGAGTCAGGAGCTGCCTCTATGGCAAACCCCCTCTCTTGTGGCTCCCTTTTTGGAGTGCTTGCTGTATTGTGTGGATACCCCCAATGAGACTCCCTGTCTGGAACAATACCTGATGTGCGGGATGACCCTCCCTTCCAGAGAATTCCTGTTCGGAGCACTTGCTGAACCTTGCGATGACCCCCGAACAGCCTCAGCGGCAGACTCAGCAGCTTGCGAAACACTTCTAGAACTGGGAAACTGTAAACCAGAATGCAGATTATAGTCCTCCTCCCCCCCCCAGAGCAGAACCAAGAGCGGAAACATTGTTGGACAACCGCCAGCACGGTTGGTCAATATGGCGCTGAATGACGCGTCCATCATCTAAGGCCACTTCGTACGAAAGTGGTCCTGAGACCTTACATACAACCTCACAGACCCAGAGATGTCCAGGACCATGTCCAAATGTTCCTTGCCCAGACCGGATCGCCCACCTGAAGTCTCTTAGGTGCCCGTGGCTGTGACACCTGTGAAGCCACCCGGTCTGGATGCAGTCTGTACAACTTTGTGATGAGGCAGCGACCCCAGCGGAGTTCAGCTGGGCTCTTTCCAGTGGCAGTGCATGGTGTGGTGCAGTGTGCAAGAAGAAAATCTGCTAACCTGGATGCCAGCTACCATGTGTGATTCTTTTGAGTGCATCTTTGGTGGTGCGTACCATCCGTTCAGATTGTCCATTGGTGGAAGGGTGGAAAGGAGCTGATGTTGCATGCCTGATCAGGTTGGCCTGTAGGAAAGCCTGAAACTCAAGAGAAGTAAATTGGGAGCCATTGTCAGAAACGAGGACATCAGGAAGTCCATGGGTAGTGAAGATTCCTCTCAACATCTGGATGGTTCTAGCAGTAGTAGTGGAGGAGACAGGTACAACCTCTAGCCCAGGGGTCGGCAACCTAAAATGGTGAAAGAGCCACTTGGACCCATTTCCCTCACAAAAAAACCTGGGAGCTGCAAAAT